GGCCCCAAGATATCTCCAACCATGCCAAGGTGTCGATATCGCACGGTTCTTGGCTTTCGCCATGTGTGTGCCGCTTGCATCTCTCCCCACGGGTGCTTAAAGGTAGCAGAGCCCCCGCAGCGGGAATGCTTGACTCTTCACTTTTCTTCTTAGCACCCAGAAGCACTCACAATGGGCAAGAAGCAACCCTCCCTCGAGGGCCACAAGTCTGGCCAGGCTAACGACCCCCTCTCCAAGCCCGCCCACGCCCTTACATGGAAGCAGGTGGTTGAGGAGGTCAGGTGCAATGCCGAAGACGGACTGACCACTGCCGAAGCAAAGTCTCGACATGAAAAGTATGGCAACAACGATCTCGGCGACGATGGAGGAGTATCGCCAGCCAAAATTCTACTAAGACAGGTCGCCAACGCTATGACGCTTGTAGGTCAATTGCCGTCACTGGGAACCAATGACAGTGAAAACTAACCCAACATAGATTCTAATCGCAGCCATGGCTGTCTCGTTTGCTATTGAATCATGGATTGAGGGTGGTGTAGTAACTGCTATCATTCTGCTCAATGTTGTCATCGGGTTTGTGCAAGAGTACAATGCTGAAAAGACAATGGACTCACTCCGATCTTTGTCTTCGCCAACTGCCACCGCTGCCCGAGACGGAAAAACGGTTACGATCCCGACTATTGAGGTAGTTCCTGGTGATCTGATCGAGCTGAAGACGGGTGACACTGTTCCAGCGGATATTCGGTACGCCCTTGCCACACTAAACCCAAACTTGAGGAACACGCCACTAACACGCACACAGCATCATTGAGGCTTTGAACTTCGAGACCGACGAGGCCCTGCTTACCGGAGAATCACTCCCTGTATCTAAAGATGGCGATGTCGTCTTCGACGAGGACACTGGCCCTGGCGACCGTCTTAACATTGCCTACAGCTCCTCGACTGTCACCAAGGGACGTGCTCGCGGTGTTGTTTTCGCTACTGGCATGTACACTGAGATTGGATCTATTGCTATGTCCCTCCGACAGAAGGGTTCACGCGTCCGAGAGGTCAAGCGCAAGCCCAATGGAAAGGCCAAGCCGCATCGCTATGCCCAGGCATGGTCCTTGACTTTTGCTGATATGGTTGGCCACTTCCTTGGTGTTAACGTCGGTACTCCGCTGCAAAAGAAACTCGCTCGCCTTGCTATCCTCTTATTTGGCGTTGCGGTCGTCTGCGCTATCATTGTGCTTGCCGCCAACGAATTCTCGAACAACAGCGAGGTTATCATCTATGCGGTTGCTACTGGTCTCTCTATGATCCCAGCTTCTCTTACTGTCGTCCTGACCATCACTATGGCTGCCGGTACAAAGCGCATGGTGCAGCGTCACGTTATTGTGCGCAACTTGAAGTCTCTCGAGGCCCTTGGTGGTGTTACCGACATTTGTTCCGACAAGACAGGTACCCTCACACAAGGAAAGATGGTTGCGAAGAAGGCTTGGATCCCGGCCAAGGGCACTTATTCCGTTGGACAGTCTGATGAGCCGCACAACCCCACTGTTGGAGATCTGTCTTTCAACCCCAAGCAACCCCGACACATTGACGCTGACATGGACGAAAAGACCTCGACCTGGGAGGAGCTTCTCCAAGACAACCCACATTTTGTAGACTATCTCAAGGTTGCATCACTTGCTAATCTGGCCCACGTTCACCAGACTGATGAGGGCCAATGGAACGCACGAGGTGACCCCACGGAAATCGCTATCCAGGTATTCGCATCTCGCTTCAAATGGAACCGTCTCGAACACACGGGTGGTGATACACCTGCCTGGAAGCAACTCGCTGAATTCCCCTTCGACTCCGATGTTAAGAAGATGTCTGTTATCTTTGAAGAAACTGCTACCAACAAGAAATATGTCTTCACCAAGGGTGCTGTTGAGCGCGTCATCTACTCATGCACACGCGTATTCACCGACGAGAATGATGCTGGCGTTGAGCTGGACGACGACTACCGCGAGGAGATTTTGGCCAACATGGAATCGCTCGCCGCCATGGGACTGCGTGTCTTGGCTCTTGCAAGCAAGGAATACGATGGACCTTCCCCTCAAAAGGGCGAGGACATAGCACGTGAGGGAATTGAGCAAGATCTCATCTTCCGTGGTCTCGTCGGTTTGTATGATCCCCCCAGACCCGAGACTGCTGGCTCTGTTCGTCAGTGCCAGAAGGCGGGTATTGAAGTCCACATGCTTACTGGTGACCACCCTGGAACTGCTCGCGCCATTGCTATTGAAGTTGGTATTGTGCCTTCGAACATGGGAAGTCTTCCCAAGGAAACCACGGACGCCATGGTCATGACTGCATCTCAGTTCGACAAGCTCACCGACGACGAAATCGATGCTCTCCCGCTTCTCCCACTTGTCATTGCTCGTTGCGCCCCCAACACCAAGGTCCGCATGATTGACGCGCTCCATCGACGAAAGGCCTTCACTGGTATGACTGGTGACGGTGTCAACGACTCTCCCTCTCTGAAGCGCTCGGATGTCGGTATCGGAATGGGTACAGGATCTGATGTTGCCAAAGACGCCTCTGATATCGTTCTGACTGACGACAACTTTGCATCTATCCTCAACGCTATCGAGGAGGGCCGTCGCATGTTTGACAACATCCAGAAGTTTATCCTGCACTTACTTGCCCAAAACATTGCGCAAGCATGTGTTTTGCTCATTGGTCTTGCATTCAAGGATGAGAGTGGACTTTCAGTCTTCCCTGTGTCTCCCGTTGAAGTCATGTGGATTATCATGATCACCTCGTCACTTCCCGATATGGGTCTTGGTTTCGAAGTTGCCGCGCCCGATATTCTCAACAGACCTCCACAGAGTGTAAGTTTCCTGCCACTGAACAAGATATTTCCCGGACATCTACTGACAAGTCACAGCTCAAGCGCGGTGTTTTCACCCTCGAGGTCATCTGCGATATGTTCGTCTACGGTCTCTGGATTGCTGCACTCTGCCTCGGCGCCTTCTCCCTTGTCATGTTCGGCTTTGGCGATGGCAATTTGGGATTCAACTGCAATGAGACGTACAACCCCACCTGCGAGACCGTTTTCCGTGCCCGTGCGACTACTTTTGCTTGCCTTACCTGGTTTTCTGTCTTCCTGGCATGGCAAATGTTGGACATGCGCCGCTCGTTCTTCATGATGCAACCTGGATCGAACAAGTACTTCACGCAGTGGGCCCGCGACGTCTGGCGCAACAAGTTCCTTTTCTTCTCCATTGTCTTTGCGTTTGTCACCATATTCCCTGTCCTATACATTCCCGTCATCAACGACAAGGTGTTCAGGCACAAGGGAATCAGCTGGGAATGGGCCATTGTCTTTATTGCTACATTTCTCTTCTTCCTCGGCATTGAGTCGTGGAAGTGGGGCAAGCGAGTCTACTTCAGGAGGCGCGATGCAAAGAACGGTGGTGGCAGGAGGGGCTCCATTGATCTGGAGCAGCGTGTATTTGAGCGATACCTCAGCACAGCCATCAGCACCGACGAGGATGCGGCAGACAAGAAGTCGTCTGCTTAGGCGTGCAAGCGATCAATTCGGAAAGATGATACCAATGCTATGTCTTTATTTGGATTTTGAATGTTTTGTTGCAGAGAGCAATCTGCAAAGGGGAGTTTGAATTTGTTTGCATAGCATGCGATTACGATACCTTAGGCACTCTGTGCTGGAAGACGAGATTTCCTAGTTATATTACGTACATAGTAATCAAGACATGATAAGTAACAACCTCCTCATTAGACTAATCTTTGTGACTGAGAGTCTTGACACGACTACGGGTTCGTTTGCTCCGTGCATGCAGCACAGCAGCGGTAGAGTACAGCGCCCACTCTCTTATGCCGAAGATAACCTTCGTAAATCAGCTTAGCTGTATGCCAATATATCCTTGAGTTAGTTGATTGGGCTGGGATTGCTTTACCTCAAACCTTGTGTAGCCGTGCAGTGGGCTGCTGCTGGGTTAGGCGTCCTAGGATGATCCACAGGTGGCCTTCTGGACTCGGTTACGCGGGTGGGATAGCTTGGCAATCTTTTCCGCTCCACTCCGAACCAAGGCCGATGAAGTGGGCCCTCTGTGCGCCTAGGGACGGCTTACAGCCAAATCGCATCTCAGGCTTCTTCTGGCAAACGTCAGCCCAGCCAGCCGAGACTGCGCGTTATTGAAGGCCCAAGGCAGGGCAAGGCAAGGCAAGGCAAGGGTGGGTGTGCGGCTGGTGGAGCGGAGTTGTCTTGGACCATGCGGACTGATATAAGAGGCATCAGCTGCACGTCGAAACAAGACCTGACAGATGTTTATCTCGAGGACCAACGTGACATGACAAGGCGCAGCGCTGTCACGGCAATAAATCCCCGGGCTAGGGGTGCCCAACATACTGTGTGTAGAGTAAGCCTACTGCGCCCACGGCGCCCACTGCAGAGACGCGCGCGGGTTGCCGAGTTCGGCCATCAGTAAGAAAGTAGCCACCACACGATCAATACGACCAACGCGCCCCTATGCGGTCGAGTGGCTTACAGCCCGGTCACCTTTTATACTATGTTGTCAAATAAGGCTAAGAACCTGGAGAGCGACGCTGACAACGGACGACGTGGCTTTGGAGGCTGTGTGGATGGAGATGTCATCCACCCCAGGCGGAGCCTCGGATAAGATGCAGTCCGGGGTCTTAAGTACGTATGTCTCTTAGGTCATGACCCGTTGCGAACCTCCCCACCTGCTCACCCAAACCCAAACCAAACTCACCTTGTCAACCGCCGGCTGCCACGGAAATAACCACAAAAAAGGCATTTTGCACCTGGTCCACGGCCAAACCACTCATCGCCAGGGTCTTCTCTCTCAAGGCTGTCGGCTGCACGAGCAATCCATTCCTGCCGTCTTAGCCGCTTGCGTCACTTCCCTCGCCTGCGTTCCCGCAGCGTGCCTCTCCACCTGCATCGCTTTCTCTCCGATCCGATACCAAGACCAAATAGACCGCAACTTACCATGCCAGCAGTTTCTGGTGAGCACGACGTGCATTTTCTCCATGCCCGAGAATGGCAAAAGACTGTCGGCAACTCGGGCATGACGCCTACTGCATTTAGCTTCTTGATTCCTGTATTTGTCGTGGCTGTCATAGCGCCTTTGTAAGTATTCCTAAATCTAGATAACTATCCCATCTCTATGCGAATCACTGTCTTTGGTCGCCAATTGCAAAACAAACAATTCCGACCAATCCGACTAGTTATGAGACGTTTGGGTTAATTGAACGGACAGTATGTGCATCTTTTGCATTCGCAAACGACGGCGAACACAAATTCCTGTCGCAACACGACCAGCAACAAAGGTCAAGAAGCCTGCGCTTAGACGAGAAGAGGCAAGAGAGAAGCTCAAAGAAGTCACTGAGATATCTTCGCAAGCAAGCGATGTTGGAGAAGAAGACCGAGAGAGGCCCGAAGGAGAATCCCAGTCTATATCTGAAAAAGAGTGGTATGCCAACCCACCCTTCCGCGTAGCATTGACACGAATCCTGACACATCCATCAGTGCCATTTGTCTCTCAGCCCTCTATCCACCATCGCCGCCAGAGCCTGCAAAACTCTCACCCGAAACACCTAATGCCGACACTCCCGCACCTTCATCCGTGACATCCGATCAACCCCAATCCACCAGTCCAACCACTACTGCCACCCCGCCCACCTCAACCCCCCAATCCGGCTCGGAACCTATCCTCAAACTCACCGTTTGCTCCCATGAATTCCACGCCGAATGCCTCGTATCATGGTTCGTCCTCCGCAAAACTAGCTGCCCCATCTGCCGCTCCATGTACATGACCAAGGAAGAAATGGACAAATACGACGAGGAAGAGCAAATCGCCCTCGGCGGCACACCTTCCACAACCGTCACAACACCTACTCCGGATCTTGAAGCCCAACAACAGACAACCCAGCCGGAAGCAACGACTACGGTACGCAACTGGCAGTACTTTTTGTATGGTCGCGATGCATATCGACGTGCGAGGGATAGACAGACTAGGTCGCAGGCGCAGAGTCAACCTGCGGTCGAGATGCAGAGTCAACCTGCGATCGATGGCGAGAGCCAGCAATCTGATACTGAGGCTGCGCCCGCGGCTGCTGAAGCGACACAACAGCCGGAGCAGCCGGCTAGATCGAGATGGCAACGATTGCTCAGGCGGGGTTGATTTCATATCACCACTGCGAAATGACCGATACGACCTCGATTTCTGACGAGGAATTTTCACGTTTATCTATTGTACATTGTTTTTTTTCCTCTTTTTCATCCCTCACTCTCTCGTTCTCTTCAGGGCAATCACACACTACGAATGGGTAGTTTGTGAATATATATGATTTTGAGGAGGAATAGTTTTATGTTTTGTTTGTTCTACTCACAGTTTGCGTACAGAGTTCGAGATACCCAGAAATAGTTTTCTTTCCTGTTTTTTTTTCTTCCCGAAGGGACCGCGTTTTGTTTTTTTGTTTGCTATGATTAGATGTTTATTATTGTTATGGAAAGATAGGGTTATCGGGTTAAATTGTAACAGAATGTATCACAACGCACATATGGAATTAAGAATATTTCCTACGAAGGAAAAAAAATCCAAGCTTTTACAGGAAAGGATTTCAACACACAAACTCGATTGAGATATTTGAAAAACAAACGTCACACATTCAAATACCAATAATTAAGCCAATCGTACATCTATTCTTGACACAATGGACAAAATGGGGGGGTATCCTGAAGACAAAGGTAAAGACCCACCACCATCTACCGATAACACCAATATCTACCATCTAACTCAAAAAGGCCTTTATTTTTTTTTCACCACACCTACTCCTTTGGTTTAAACACACGATGCCTAGCCAGTAGCTGCGAAATCATAAAATGCGACACGTCCTCGTCCGCCCAATACGTCATGTGACTAGCAATACTAGCCAGAAGCGAAATGTCAAAAGCCTATATTGTCCTTAATGTTAACACACGCATGATACCCAAAGCAAAGAAGGATACAAGGTACTTACACCTTCCTGGATACTGTAGTCCACCCTCCCGTTCGAGTTCAAACGGCGCACTTTTTGTTCCTCCTTTTTCAGCTTGCGGCTTCGTTCCTCGAGCTCCTGCCACTCGAGATCCTTCTCAATATCGTGTTCGCCGTCGTCTGTCTGCTGGCTCTTTCTGCGCTTCTGAAAGCCGGCAAAGAGAGTTTCAATGTCTGATTCGATTAAAGTGGGTGGGTGCTCGCCATCTTCGCCCTCGGCAATGGTTTCTTGGCCGAGGCGGCGGCGGCGTTCTTCGCTGATGAAGGCGCTGGTAGGCTCGTTGAGACCTGGGACGAGGCTGACATTGCCGGAGTTGGGGGCGGCGGTTAGGGGACGAGAAGATCTTTGACCTTGAGCACCGCCAGCCATGTCGGTTCCGGAAATGCCTAGACTTCGGTTGAGGAGTCCGCTCGCGATACCTGCGGAAGATTGTTAGTATCAAGAACAATATGGAAATCAGCCTAAACAATTGCTTGCAGCGCCTAGTATTGCAACTCCAAATAGCGACTTCTGAATTAGATCAACACTTACCTGAGCCGAGAGAGGTCCAGAAGTCTGTCACGCCCTGACCAACCCGTTGACCAATGCCAGTGATTCCTTGAGCCGCTGGCGTTCCGAAAATGCCTTTTTTCGTATATGGCAGGGGCTGCGCCTTCAGAGAAGACATGGCGGGTGATATCAGAGGTTCAAGACGATAGCTAATGGGATCGGTTGGGTGGAAGATATTGAAAACCTGCTTGCAAAGTGGCGAGGAAGTCGTTATATCGAAAGCATGCTCATCGATCTCTGGCGCAAATGGGTCATCAATAGGCGTCGCAGGCGTTACTGGTGGGACAAAGGTAGTTGAAGCAGCTTGTGGTCTTCCAGCAATCGTTCTTCCCTTGAGCATCTGGAAAAGTCCGATAGGTGATCCAAGGGCATAGAAATCCTCAACTTCAAAGTCCAGTTTCAGGCCTTCTTCAGTTGATCGCCGTTGTTTGGCTGATTGCGAACTCGGTTTCGCCTTCGGGTCCTTTTGCATGCAAAGAACATCAAACATTATAGCAGAACCAAGTGAGTGGCCAACAAGACTGACTTTACCCTTGAAAGAAGGATTGCGTTCTTTGAAAAGGTGGTAGGCACGGTTAAGCTCCTTGACAACGATTCGTGAAATATGGCCTTTGTATGCGGGGCTTTGGTATAGTAAAATGTCAAGAGCGAGATCTGTAAGAAAGTTACGAACCGCAGGAACACCTTCAACAGTAATATCCTCGAGGTTGGGGTACTCCTCGTCTTCATGGTCGAGATCGCCCAAGTCATGTTCCTTGCGATTATGCTTGAGACTCTGTTTTGGGAAATCTAGAAGGTGTCGCCAAATGATAGGAATGCACTGGATACGGTTGTTCTTGGTTGTTGACTCAACCTCCGCATTGAGAGCCTGTAGGTCGGGTGAGGCTGCATACACAGACTTGAGAGATTTACGCATAGTGTTCACGTCATGGATGAAGTTAATTGACTCCATGCGCATGCCAAGTCGTTGCCCGATACCATGAGTGACCAGAAGAAGGTGCTCGATTTCACGACCTTGGTCACTGTCGTTCTGAGCCTTGTAATCCTCGCGCATTTCCTTTTCCTCACGTTTTCGCATTGCCTCTTCCTGTTGCTGCTCGTATTCGGGTTTCGATGACGTCAACAGCGAGGATACCTGCCTCTCTAGATTGCGCCTGCGCGTTTGCGAAGGCGACATGCTCCTTTCGTTTTCCGATGTATCTTCGTCAGTATTAACGTCCGAATCCGACTGTTTGCCGTGATCTGAACCATATGCCAGGGACGGGGTCTCAGGTCGCCCGCTCGGCTTCGCGCTCTGAGGGCCTTTGGCCGGAGCCGACTGCTTCTTCTTGTCTGCCGGGTCCGTATACCCGCGGATGTATTTGTTTCCGGCATAATGTGCGCCTCCAGCAAAGCGTTGGTACAAAGTGCTACCCATACGTGACCACATATCGTCCGTCAGCAACCATGCTGTTGTCTCATCTTGATAAGTCACAGTCGAATTCAGATGAGCGCCAAAAAGGCGATGCGTCCTAGGTAGGTCCGCAGGGGCATTTGAATTTGTAGCAGAATCTGCTGGCTTTGCGTCTTCGGCCTGGTTTTCAGCTTCCTTTTTCAGACTATCGTATGAAGACTTTGGTGTTACAGGATTCGATGTCGAGTCACGGTTCAGCCGGCCCAACTCCTTTCGGTGGTCTTCACCAGCCAGCGGTCCCATGGACAGTGGCCTTACGCGGGGCTGCGAAACTGCTCGCTTCTCCTCTGGTTTGCCAAATTTCCACGGCTTGACTCTCAGGTAACCTTCCTCGAGCTGCATAGCCAGACCCTCATCAACAGCCTCGCCATCTGGTGTAAACCACGTTCCTCGCTTGACATCGTATACCGGACCCAGCCAGTATGCTGGCGCCAACTCACGTGTTTCTATCTCAACATCGAACAGATAGTCCTCGTTGACAGGGACCTTTGTGGTCTTGGTGGCCGCGGGATTTGGCTGAATAGGCGTCGAAGGGCTTCCGATTCCTTTTCGCAACTCGTCCATATCCGCCTCGTCGGCTGTTTTTTGGAATGCTGTTTCGATGGCGCGTGAGTCGCTGGCACTAAAGGGTATCCATTTTCTCGGCTTGGGCAGAGCGGTATCGGGCGCCATGGCGTGCTTGGAGAGCGGTTTCCTTTTCGGAGTCTGCGTTTGTCAGTGGAAGAAGACACGGGACGACTCCTCCAAAACGCCTGCGCAAGACTCTCAGTACATCGGTGTACTTACGTCTATGGCATGGAACCATCTCACGGCCAGCGGAGGGCAGTCCTGTGGATAGCGCTTGAGGCTCAGCCGGTGCCTGCGATCGATGATATGGTCGCCTCCTTGCTGGGGAGCGAGCCCAGTTGCAATACGCTCCTTCTCCTTCTCCTGCTCCATCTTCTTCACTTTGTCCACACCTGCATCGAGCTTGGGCGTCGACGGAGGCTTGGGGGTGCCGGCACGAGAGGACCAGGGAGAGAGATTTGAGAGGAAGCCCTGCCTGTTATCAGGGGCAGACATCCTGTCAACTGGCGGACTGCTCCCACCTGTGGAACGGAGTTTGCTGAGCCAGGACTGGGCGCGGCGTGGTGCAGCTTGGGGAAAGATGGGCTTCAGGCGGGGTGGGCGACAAAGCACGCGAAGAGCAATGCGTGGATGCAGCGTGATGCAGCGTGGATGCGAGTTAATGGCGGTGAGAAGAGCACAAACGAAATAAAAAACGAAGAATAGAAACGAGTAAGTAATGGAGAGAGGTCAGGTCATGGCATGTGCGTGTGCGTGTGCATTGAGGTGAAGCATGTCTTGCATGTGCCTGCCGCGACATAAGCCCGCGACCCGCCTGTTACATCACTCATTGCGGCCCCCTGTCGCTTCCCAACACGCGGGGCACCCATGAGTCCATCTGCATCCTTGGTCATCTCCGAAAAGCATCGCCATTGTGACTGCACCCTCAACCCATCGCCATGGCAATCTATACGCTGGCTGACCTATATGTGCCCCCACGGCGGTCGTCCTCGATCCCTCGTCAGTACCACCGCATGGCCGCCGCAGGGCGACAGGACCACCGCTTCTCTCTCGCCGATGCGGTGGACCTGAAGCCCAAACTCCAGGCCCTGGACAAGGCCCTAGCTGGCACATGTACCGGCCACAGCAGGGGGTTGGATTTCACCAGCATCGATGATGCAGTGAGCATGCAGTCTCCTCATGTTGCCGTCTACGTCGACGGCTCAGAGGAGTTTTTTCTCATGGTGAAGACCGTCTCGCGACCAGATCTCATCCCCAAAGTCTTGGCCGAAGCCATTAAGGCCATGTTCCACGGCCGGCCCTATGTAAATATAAGCCGCACCTCAGACTTCAGAAAGGGCGCAGACCCTACTTTCTCCGACTTTCGTCCTATACTGCCAGACATTGATCGCCTATGCGGAACTAATCTTGCCGGTGTCGTCGCCAGGCTCGAAGCTCAAGGCAAGCTAAGAGTTCCGTAGAGAGAGAGAGAGCAGTCAAGTGCCTGTACTGACATGGCACAGTCGCACCTTTTCCCTTTTTGCGACTTCCCGCTGAGCTCCGCCTGCAAGTGTACTCGTACGTTCTGCCCGAGCACCCTCGCGGTATTCTCCCGCCCTGGTGTCGCAAAAGCAATGGCCGGCGCCTTGCTCTCATGCGCGTCAACAAGCAATTGCACAGTGAAGTGCGGAAACATTACTATGAAAATGTGAATTTCCTGATTGCAACCGTTTTCCAACTGGAAAACACATCCTTATACGAAGACAACACCATGTCTCTCCGCCAGTTGATAGAGAGCATGGATCCTAACATCTTTCCTCTGATCAAGCAGCTTTCCGTACGCTTAAATGATTTCTCGGTCCAGGAAAGTCTTCGTACAGAGACTAGATCGCCTCCATTTGCCCTAAAGTACATATTTGATACATTTACAGGCCTTGAGCGACTCACCATCACGTTCGGTACCGCGCCTCGTTCTAACATGTGGGCGGGACATGATCAGGAGTCTATCCAACGCAAGTACGTGGATGAGATGAAGACGCGCTTCATCAAATACATCCCGCCATCGATCAAAGTGTCTTGGTGGCACGAGGACGCAGCAAGATTCTTTAACAGCGACACGGTAGAGAAGTCCTTATGGACCGCCATACAAGAGCGAGCATCAACATACACAGACGAGAGCATTGGTACTCCATCTTGAACAATTCCCGCCCCACTCTACACAATTGTTTTGTACATGAATTCAAGTAAACCCCTCTTATCCTAACAATGCCGCTGCCTTATAAATTTGATACCCTGCCAACCCACTTCCCACTGCCCAAAAGCTGCTCCTCACAAAACTCGTCGCATGATCCGCAATCTGCACATACGACACCACGTACGCTGTCCTAACCGCAAACCACGCCGCCACAAACGTCGTCAGGCCCGTTGCATCACCAGACGCTACTTCTCGTCCCAACCCCACAGCTGTCGTGCGCTCAGCAAGGATACTCGCGAGCACAGCAGCGGCGAAAAGTGGTAGTTGCTCCATGTTGTTTGATTGAGCATTTTCAGCGCGTTGGTATTTTTGGAAGCTGGTTTTTTATCTCATGTTAGCTTCTTTTCTCACGCTCATATGTAAAATGGACATGAAGCATTTGGAGTTGAAGGGGAAAAGTAAGGACGTACACTGCATCCGGCACTTTCCCTTTAACAGCGTCGGGAGACAAGGAGGCTTTGGGATTCGCATTGTTGACTTTGTAGCCGTTCGATGAGAGCAGGCTGCCTGCGTAGCCGTGGGGTATCAGGGAGAAGACATAGTAGGCTGGGATGGCGAGGAGGGGGTAGTTGATGCTGTTTGACGGCATTTTGTTTTATTATCCAATTCAATTCGCTTGGTAAGCGTAAGACGTTTTGGTTGGATTGGGTCTCAAGGGAAAAGAGAAGAGTTGTTGTGTTTGAATGTTGCGAGGTCGTCATGGATTTGTCAACATAAGGATTGACGTAGCCATGAGTCTAGCGTTGTCAATATGACGCCAACTTTTCTGAATTACCAGCATCACCATCCTTGACTTTCGCTATGCAACTGAAAAATGCAACGTCTTGCTTCCCCTGAAATTGCTAGATTCATTCGTGAACACGTGTATCGACTAGGCAGCAACATCTATTCCCCATCACCAAGTCTATCGAATCATGCAACCCGTGCAACACTCATAATATCCTCTTCCAGATGCAATGCCTGGAACTGCGTAAGCACCTCTGGCAACTTCCGCCTATTTCCATCAACCACAGCATCTGTTCTCTCCTTTGCCGCAACCCCGATCATGAACTTTTCATCAAAAGCCTGAATCTCCACCCGCGTATCGTCCAACCTCTTACTCTCGTCCTTCTTCATACCCTTTACCCCTGCAGGTCCCTTGCCATCAGCCTTCATCGTAAACCAAACCTCTGCGTCGCTGATGCGTTCGCCCCATGCTCCATGCGTGCTACAGCGTGCTGGAGTCCCAGCCCGGGGCGCACGCACGTTCTTGAACTCCAGTCGGGGGATCCACTGTGCAAGGAGAGCTTCGCCGTCTAGCTTGATGTAAGCTTCCTTGTAGCACCAAAACGTGTAGAAGCGGCGCAACTTTGCATCAATCAGCAGTTCTGAATCAAATACCCGCTTCTCTCCACTCGGGAGCGTGATGCTGAGTTGCTTGTGCCGTGCACAACATCGATCGTGGCGACCGATTATCTCCTGCGTAACCACTGTGCCGTCGAGGAGAGGAAAAGGATCGACGTTGTACTTTAGATCAAACAATTCCTCTTGGCTGTAGATTTCGGCGTACATATCTATCCAGCCATCGAATCCTTCCTTGTCAATGACGCGGTATTCGTCTCTTTCGTTGACACAAACAATGTCTACGCCTACTTCTGCATCTAGCTCGTCTGTCTTGCACCCAACCAAGGCCACAAGGCCTGCTTGGTGTGAGATGTTGAACTCAAGAGGTGCTGGGCCATGCTGTGGCGGCGGCAACAGCGCAATGGGCTTTCCATGCTTAGGATCTCGTTTCCGACCAAAGCAGATGTCTCTCCATGGGATCCCCAGCATCTTGTGGACGAACAGACGCTTGAGCAGTGCCGAGCCAAGGCTCATGCGAGCATCAGCTATGTGGTACTTCCTCGTAATGTTCTCGCGCTCCTCAAGGCTGACTAGTGAAAGTGCTTCTCGGGCCTAGGATAACAATTAATGCTGCGCCAAAGGAAGCCGGGGAGATGTAGACCAACAGCTTCGGAGTCCGTAATCTTGGTACCGGGCCATATTGACCGAGTGTCTAGGAGCCAGCAAGTGAAACTGCTCCCTGCTGCTCCGCTGTCGTCTTGGTCGACCATTGTGCTTCAGATGAAGCAACACTGGGCGGTGACTAGACAAATAGTAGAGCAAGCGATATAGTAGTCTGGATGGACGGGACAATTCCGAGCTGCAGACCCCCCACTTGGCGGGCACTTCGGCTTATATGAGCTTTTCGGCGCCCGACGCAATGGCTTTGAGATTCACTACTGCGTCATGTTCGGAGTTTCTATATCATGACTGTTCCTTCACGGCATCAGCGGGGTTCCCGAGAGTCGAGGTCGATGATCCAGAGTGATGATCGGAGAAGCGATTCGGCTAGGGCTGAGATGAGATGGGTGACATGCCTAGACTGCGGCTTTTAGTGGGGAACACTTGGGGTTTATCGATAAAGGTTTTGTCACATTTCCCGTCACTTTCCGTCTGGTGTGACTCCCATGTCGTTCCATGCCGTAATCTCGTAGACATTTTTTTTCCCTTTGTTTTCTCTAGTTACGGAGTTGATAGGTGTCTCAAAGATTCAACATGACGGTTACGAATAGCGAACAGAAAGTTACGGTTGGCGTGCTTGCCCTGCAAGGCGCTTTCAGCGAACACATCCAACTCTTGCGCTCCGCGGCTTCGAATATCGCCTCCGCGCCACCATTTCAGTTCATCCAAGTGCGCACTCCGGAGCAACTCGAGCAATGCGATGGTCTCATCATTCCTGGTGGCGAGAGCACAACCATGTCCCTCGTAGCCGCACGAAGCAACCTCCTTGAGCCCCTGCGCGACTTTGTCAAGGTCCAGCGCAAGCCGACGTGGGGCACATGCGCCGGTCTCATATTGCTTGCAGAAAGCGCGAACCGGACAAAGAAGGGTGGGCAAGAATTGATTGGAGGTCTGGATGTGAGAGTGAACAGAAATCATTTTGGAAGGCAACAAGAAAGTTTCCAAGCCAATCTCAACTTGCCGTTCCTGGACGCCACAAGCAGCACTGGCAAGAGCGATCCATATCGCTGTGTCTTTATACGCGCGCCTGTAGTCGAAAAGGTGTTGCCCACCTCCAAAGCGGTTGGCATCCAGAAGAGTGAGAGTGAGAGGGAGGATACTGTTGTTGCACCAAGTAAGACACCCGTCGATGATCTGGCAAGGAAGGAATTGGATCGCGAAGTCGAGATCATGGCCACATTATCCACGAATGCGAAGCCACTACAAGATAACCAGGAGCACAATCATGTGGGTGCAGAGGACATAATCGCTGTTCGGCAGGGCAATGTCTTTGGATGTAGTTTCCACCCAGAGCTGACAGAGGACTCGCGCATACATGTGTGGTGGTTGGGCGAAGTCCTCAAGGCGGTAGAAAGAAGAGAGCAGTTCGAACTGGCGGACCGGACAAAGTGAGCTACGCATCTTATGAAAGAGTACTCAAGACTTGTATTTGTAGACCGCATTACTAGACTTCGCCCGAGCGGCAGGCGTTTTGAAGACGGCAGTAAATTTCAAACGGTATCTGATATTTGGTTCCTTTCCTCTCATATGCATGTCTAGAAATACAAAACTAATCACTGATGTCGAATGATGGATGGCCAGTTCCTACAGTGGCATGCGTCAAACTCCGTCAAAGTGGAATGTGTAAATGCTTTCCTGGGACTGACGATCCTGCTCGTTATCTTCGTTCCGAGGCTCAGGGAATTGAATCGTATGTCCTTTGCGCTGTAGCATCTCAAGACTGAGCCGAGACCTCTTTTACTCATCATTTCTGCCGTGGTCGCTATTAGAAGCCCTCCATGTCGCGCTCGCGTCTCCGGATTGCTTCCCGTCGCCAATAACATGCTGCTGCGCAATCTCCGAATCCTCAACACTGCTCTACTGCGCCTCATGGTATTCGTCCACCGCCCTTCCGTAGCCACCACGTCCAGGGTCGTACTCGGCTCGGTACTCATCGCGCACCTGTCCACCACTCTTTCCACGGCCATACTGCCGTCCCTCGGTAAAACCCTCGTCCAGATCTGTCCTGATGACGCGCTCATCCAACTTGGTGCCACCAATGTACTTCATGCAGTCGAGCGCATCCTGATGTGTGTAGTACTCGACAAAGCAGAATCCGCAGGGCGTCTTTTGAAAACGATCGAGGCCCATTACTAGTCGCTTGATCTCGCCGCATTTTGAGAAGAGCTCGTGGATCTGCTCTTCGGTGGTGTAGAAGGAGAGATTGCCTACGTAGAGCGTGGTTGCATCTTTGAGTTTGTCTTCAGGCGAGGGCGAGCGGGCGCGGTCTTCGTCGCGTGTGTTACGGTCGCGTCTGCGTTTCTGAGATCTGTTAGTACATGCGATATGGGTTGGAGCGCAAGGTTTATAAGTACCTTTGCTGTCGCATATGAGCTTGGTTTGTCGAGGCGATCGATTGTACTTCGAAGCGCAGGCATGATGGCGGTTTGTTCCACACGTGAAGGAATGTGTTCTAGATGCGACCGTATTCAGGCCTTTCAAGCGCTATTACAAAGTTTGGTGTTGGAGTGATTCTCGAGATCCAAGGTTGAGAGCTAGCTTGCAGCTGCCCCAGACGCGTCGGCCTTGGCACGCTCTCTCAAAGCTGGAACTTTTGTTTGCTCATAGATTCTCCAACCTCCAAACAATCAAATTCACACCACTATCACCGGTGGATATCCAAACCTTTCGGCCTTACCGGGATAGTCTTCGCCATGCCTAAAATTCTTGGCTATACCCCAGACTGGCTCAGCCGCCCGAATCCAGGCTATCACCTGTTTGCGCCGAAACACACGGACGGTAAAGGAGTCGTAGCGAGAAGAGCGGAGCCAGGATCGCAAAGGACGATTGCGACAAGGGGTTCAGAGATATTTGTTGCGGTTGGAAATGAGATCCGTTGGGCAGACCTGGTCAACTTGAAAGAAGAGGCGCAGCCCGCATACCGAACCCTCAGAGTCTCGATACCACTACCTATTACGCGTCTTACCATCTCTCCCGAGGAAGATTACCTTGCAGTCTCGACATCGCATACCGTCCATGTTATCCATCTCCCCGACCCGTCGTTGCTCGAAGGCGGTGAAGAGGGCCCTTTGAAGCCAAAGACTTTCCAGCTGGGGCCAACCGTACACGTTCTCGAAGAGTCCTCAGTCGCGACAGTGCTATGGCACCCTCTGGGATATCATGGGCGCTGCTTGGTTACAATCACAAAGGCGGGCGTGGTGCGGCTTTGGGAGATCAATCGCGCGGATAGGTCTACATTCAGTGAACCTGCGCTATCAATTGATCTACCTAAACTTGCAAATGCGACAAGTGATCAGGACGACCTGAGCGCATCCAAGTTTGGAGCTTCCAAAGGCTTCTCCCCCGACTCTGTCGAGCTGGAAGTTGCATCTGCATGCTTTGGCGACTTCCCAGAGCAAGAGGGTGTCCATGGGTGGGCGCCAATGACGCTTTGGATCGCCACTGTATCTGGTGATGTGTATGCGCTCTGCCCGCTACTACCGAGCAAGTGGCAATTGGTCGAGTCGCCCGGCAGCTACACATTTCTGGAGACCCTCACCTCATCCATCAACATCAACTACACGGAGACATCTGAAGACGAGACAGTACCCAAAGACGAGCTGAAGACGGCGGAAAAGCAAGTTTCGTGGCTGTCAGACATTCTATACGAGGAGCCTTTCATAGAAGAGCGACAACAAGGGGATACAGTCAAGGTCTTTGCTCGTCCGACAAGCGCTCCTGCAGTACCACTTCTACAGGGTCCGTTCATCATGGCACCTGAGGTGGACGATTTTGAGCTTAGCGACATGATTGTCTTCTCACTCAAGACTCTGTCGGAGAGCGAAGACGAAGAGACAGCAGCCGAAGGTTTGCCAACGGCTGTAGTATGTCTACTCACTGACACGAGCATGGTTCATGTGTGCTTGGATTTGCAGGGCATCGTTGGACGCTGGCTACCATCACCAGAAGATGAGATTGATGTGGCAGAAAGACACGAGCACGAGCTGCTTATAGTGGAAACGATTGCTTTGGTCAAAGATGAAGTATCATCGTTCAACCAGAGCATCACGCCTGATGTACATACCGACTTTTCATTCTTCGTTTCGCATGCGACCGGCGTCTTCTACATTTCATTGGAGCCTTGGATCCGAAAGGTCGAGGTCGAGTTATCCCAATCACAAACACAGGGCTCGGCCTTCCGTCTAAAGCGAGTGCTGGAGTCGGCAAGCACTTCCGTGGACCAGTGCCTGCAACGGCGCACTACTGGCAATGTGGCAGACCAAGAAGTCACAGCAGCAGTCGTCATCGAGGATGGAAACGTTGGTTACCTCCTTCTTACCAGTGTCAATGGCGAGCCCCAGGCCGCACTTCTTGATGCGCCAGAAGACGGACTACCTACTCAGGAAGAGCTTGCCGAGTACATGGCAATTGCTGGCCCCCACAAAGAAGTCCGCGAGGCATGGCAACCACCAAAGGAGCTTTATGATTCATTTGACCTGTTCAAATCTATCCACATTCCCGCACGACACCGAGGAACTCTTCAGGATGAGATCAGGCTGTCTCCTGCGAATCTCTCGCTGCTTATGGATGTTCACCGAGCACTTTCGGCGCAGACTTCAAAGTTGCAGCACGCAGTCTCGGACTTGTTCAACAGGGCGACTCGATTGCAGGAGGAGTTCCGAGACCAGATTTACAGGACATCGGAAATTGCAGCAAACATTGAGGATGTGACGTACAACGGTCAAGCCAGCTCAGTGGACGGATCAAATTACGAAAGTCTCAAGATTGACGACCGAATGGAGAGGGTTAAGGCGCGACAGGAGCAGATCAACGCACGCTACGAGGCACTTCGACGGAAGATGGTCAATATTGGTTCTAGTCAGTTGAGCGAGAAGGAAAGCAGTTGGATCGAAGAGTTACAGACAATGGAAAGCGCTGTGGATCCTTCGAGTAAGACGCTAACCGACGATGTTGACGGCAGCGAGCGGCCGGCATGGCAGCGTCTGGAGAGGATTAAGCAAGTGCACCAAGAACAAGCGAAACAAATTGAAGAGGCAACCAAGTCGGCGAAACGGGGAGAGAATGAGGGAGCAAGGAGCAATGGTGTAAAGATAGCGAGCTACTCGAGGAAGGCGGAAAATGAGCAGGTGCAGGAGCTGATACAGCGGAACAATGTGCTGGTTGAAGCTGCTACGGACAGGCTGAGGAGGTTGGGGGTGAATGTGCCAGTGGAGGCTGGGAGCTAGGCGGATGAAGCAGCTGTGTAGACGGAGCAGGGGTGGAATGGGCTTGTTGGAAACAGACTGGTTGGATAGCGGTGGGATAGACGGGATGTGCTCTTTGTCCAAGCATGGTGTTTTGTAGCAATGGGGACCAAGTCACGTGTTGTGGGGAAATACTCATTGTTTGTCATAGAGCGTAGTCGTGCCCTCCTTCCATGAGCCTCGTTCGCGTGAGGGTCCTCTTTTTTGCAACGCCTACTACCCAAGTACATACTACATACATGCGCACATATGCCCCGCTACCAGCCCTACCACACTTGGCAGATGGGTGTCGAACCATGATATCCAAGACCATGGCACTTGGTTAATGGTTCTTGACATGGTGCAAGGGAGTAACGCTTGTACTCACGGTCCTGTCAGGTGCTAGCAGCGAATGGAGAAGAGGCTGCGGGTCCAGAACGATCAGCTCTGGCAGTCCCGGTACGATGGCCAGAGTGGAACGGCCAAGGCCAAGGGGCGAAGAAACATTGGCCCAATCACAAGAGTCGAAACGTGATGCTTCGCCTGTCAGCCTGCGGTAGCCATGCAGCGTGGGTGGGTGCTACGGTATGAGGATGGGAGCATGCGCATGTGCATGCATCCAGACGGGGAGCTTGGCGTGCCGGCGTGTATATATTGCGGCGTAGATGTTGTATCATCAGCGCGGAGCTGACTGTGTCCGCATACACGTACATAGATTGATGCGCTGCTCCCATCGCCACCGTCGTAACGCTCGGCTCGAGCAGAGGGTGCGGCGGTTCCAGGTCATGAATCACGCCGCGGTCACACTGTGGCCGACGGGCTGGCACGGGAGACGACGCTGGTATGGCCGACGGGAGGGTTCTTGATGGGCATTTGTGCAATGCAGAGGTGGAGCAGTTGGGCGCTTAGAAGTGCCCTGGCCGGCCATGGCATAGCCTGCAAAGCCATCACACCAGTCTGGCCAATCACGGCCGCCACCGCTATGTCTTTCACCCACGCTATCCACCTCCAAGTCCCCTCCCGCCCGACCAGACCTGCAGCCGCGCAGCTTAGTGGTCGCCCGCCCTGGTCAAGCCAATATGCTGCCGCCATGCCTATTCGCTGCCTACTCAATGCTTCCAGTGCTGACCTGCAATGGCTGCTCCCCTCGCTCTTTTCGCCAGCCATGGTGGCTCCCGCAAGACGGTTGCGCCCAAGGCCTGTATCTCTTAAGTCCTGAACGGCCCCCGCCACCGCGCCCTGCCTGGCTGAGTCGACTACATACTATCCGACTGCGCCCCCCCACCGCATAGCTAGACAAAACTATCTTTGCCTTGCGACTGCCTCCCTCCCCACCACCACCACCACCACCACCATACCGCCGCCATGTTTCGTTTCACCCAGCTTGTCTTTGTCGCCGCTACCTGGTCCCTTGCCGCTGCGCACACGGTTCTGGTCTACCCGCCATGGAGAGGAAACAACATCCACACAAACGGCACCCTGTCTCCCACGGACCCGACTATCCCAAATGGGTCGCTTGGAATGAACTACGACAAAGACACCGACTCGTATGGGTTTCCATATGGCATGCAGTGGATGTACCCTTGTATGTCACTTTGAAATCTTCCCTCTGTCCCAACCCATAGCTAACAGCCTCAACAGGCGGAGGAATGCCAACCTCGCGTAACCGAACAAAGTGGCCCCTCCTGGGTGGCGCCGTTTCTGTTCAACCAGGATGGTTCCCTGGCCATGCCCTCGCTCAAATCTACATCAACATGGGATACGGCAACGAGCCTCTGAACTATTCACATACCATGCTGCCCGTTTTCCAGATTACCGGACCCACGAACCAGGAATACGGAGGCCAGTTTTGCTTGCCCCAAGTACCATTACCCGCCAACTACACGCCTAAAGTCGGAGACAATGCCACCATCCAGGTCATTGAGCTGGCGCAGCACGGCGCTGCCCTCTACAACGTAAGTCTAATCCATACTGCAAATCTTTACACACGTGGTTAACAACATCAACAGTGCGCCGACATCACATTTGCTGAACCAGGAGACCCAGAAATACCAGAGGTCAACGCAACAAACTGCATAAACACAACCGAACCAGACCAGAGAATTGGCTTCCAAGTTCTATACGCAACAACATCATCGCGAGCTCCACACGCCATTGTCGTAAACGGTTATGCATCAATACTAGTACCAGCAATGCTTGCGACAGCATCCTGGTTAACATGGGTCGTTTAAGAAGTCAACTTGCTGTTTTTTGTTTTTGTTTTTTTATATCACGGGCATGGCGTTGGGTGGACAAGATATCCGGTTTTTTGTTGAAGCGACAGAGTCCCAGTTGGAACATACGCAATCAGGGGGGGGGGGCTTTTCAGTTGAGAGCCATGCAAGGCTGAAGAACAGCTTGAACCGCCCTTTCTTTCTTTCCAAACCGCACATGAAGCGCTGCAGCCCGCTGTGGCTTTGCTGATGAAATGCTAATCATAAATTCTTACACAATCATTCTATTTTTACCAAGTCACATTGAGGACTTGATGATGATGATGTTGATGATGCTTACTCGCATTGAACTCCACTCCAGCCAACAAAGCCGCCAGCTTACTTATTTTTTCCACAGCTTTCTCATCAACACTAAAAGATGACTTTTTTTTCTGTGTTTCTGTAATAACAAAGATGTCAACGGGAGGCCTGAGAGGCGGCGGATGCGGCGGCGGCGGCGGCAGCGGGCTTGCCGGATGGCAGCGGGGTGGCTTGACGTTGGAAAGGCCAAAGAAAGGGTTCATCTATGCACGGGGGAGGCACGGTTTTTTTGGTCTCCACTTGCCGCTTGCCAGCAACCAGCAATCGAGTAAGAAGTGGAAACACTATTATGAGCTTATTTCCAGGAAATCGCTAACAAGAACCTACCATTTCAAACGGGATATTTGCTGTTTTGTAAGGGTAATTAAGAAATTGAGTTTGTTGCGATAATGATAAGGGTACGAAAACTAGCATATTTCAAACACACTTTCCACGTAGTAGTCATTAATTCAGTCCTCATCAATGTAACTGTCCACACAATCGCCAACCCCTTCCTTTGCGATCTGTATGCGCATCCATCGTCCCCGCCCCCCCTCTTGACCCAGGTACCTACGTTACCCTCGCGATCGGAATCCTCGTTCCGACAAACTGATCTACGTACTACAACATCTCTTTCTTGTTTTTGTTCCCCACTTTTTCTTTTAACCCCGATTGCCCGCACCCTCTCATATCGCTCTTGTACGCGCCGCTGACAACGACCATCACGACCACGACGGCGGAATCTGGGAAAGGGCTCGCTCACCGCTTTTGCACTGCCAACCGCCAGCCAACGTATACACACATACGTTTGTACGAAAACCCGGGTACTTGGCGAGTGTTTTTGATTTGCTGGCGTTGGGTAAAAAAAAAATACGTATCTGCCCCCACTTTCTTACCTCTCTGCTTTTGTGATTGTGGGATCGATTTTCGGTGAATTGAACACGGAGCTGGGGCATTGGTATTCTGGATTTTGGTGTTTGGCCCATCGGATCCCTTTGGGAAAAGACCTGCGAGGCAGATACACACACACAAAAAAGAAGTTAGTGACGAGAGAAAATATGCAGCCTTTTTGTTTGGGATTCGAAAGTGGGGCCGCTTACGGGTTTGGTAGGTTGTATTTTGCCTTTTGGTGAAGGGTAAAGAGGACAAGGGATAGGGAACGAGGAGAAAAAGGAGGAGGTGGAAGATGGTTGGAAGAAACAAAGCAAATGGCGGCAGCGGCAGTGGCAGAGTAAAACGCAAACAGATCCAAAGCGAGGATGGGTGGACGGTTATCACGCATGGGCTATCCAAGGTCTCGCTCAGCGAAAAGAGCCAGGGCGCCACAGCTCTGCCTACGCTGATTGTCAAGGATCTAACAGCTGAGAAGTTGCTGGGTGATTTCAAGACGCTGCGGGAGCGGTGGGAAGATACGGCGCTTGCGGCTCAGGTTGATGGTGTTATCGAGGGAAGAGAGTGGGGGGTTGAAGAAGCAGTGTGCATAGGCATTGGCAGTTTTAGTAGAGATTGGGCGCATCGATGGAGGAGTCTGTGGCAGCTTGTGCTATTTGATCACGTTGTTGGACGGCGTAAGTTCTACTTGTTGACTTTACTCCGGTCTTTTGGCTACACTCACATCTAACACTTTATCCTCCAGTCCAAAAACGCAACAACAAGACCGAGATTCGTTGCTATGCTCAAGACCCAGCTTTTACACCTCTCGACACCGAGTTTCTCTCTCTCCTATCCATCACTAGTCTGGAATCTGGTCTCGAAGCGAAAATCACGACAAAGTCGTTTGTCTATTCGCCGTTTGTGGATTGGTTCTTGCTGCTCCCCACGTTTCTGGCTGATAGGGATCCCGTGCTGTATATCGGCAATGAAATTCTGGATGATTACAGCATGTATGCACAGAGCGAGGAGAAGAAGGAGAGGCTCAGTGAGTGCAATGAGGTGGGGAAGAAGTGGTTGGCGGCTAGGCAGGTGGTCAAGTTGTGCGAGTTTGAGAAGCATGGGAATGCCCTGAATGGGATGGTTGTTTATTTGAGGGATATTGGGGATGACGACAAGGATGATGGTGAGGAAGAGAAGCAGAAGTAGAGGAGCAGCTCAAGTGAGAATAGTATGTGACCTGGTGGAGTAAAAAGACAAAGGCACAGTTACCATGCTCCCAATCCACGAATCCACTCAAATGAACATTGCAGAGTCGAGTCATGGCTCTAAATCTCACATTATTAGAAAAGGGGTATCATTACTCTATTTTACTTCCCACCAGCAGCCGCCTTTGCTGCTGCTGCCTCCCTCTTTCTCTGCAGGTACCTCTCCTTTGCACTACTAATATCCTGATCTGTCTTCTGGCTCTTCCTCGCTCGCTCAATCTTCGCCTGCTCCTCTGCCTCCTCTTCTGCCTTTCTCTTGTTTGCAGCCTCAATTTGCTCAACAACCATGGCAGTCTGGCGCTCTCTTTGCGCATTGCGACCTCCCTTGTGAATGCCATGTGAGGGAGGGGTGTACTTGGTTGCAGCTGCGGTAGCAGAGGAAGAGGCAGAAGCAGTAGAAGTGGGCTTGGGCTTTGCAATGACGTTGAGACCGGCAGAGAGTAGTTGGCGATGATCGGCTACTTGGCCATCGTCGTTGAGTACCACCTTCTTTCCTTGCTTGCGTAACTCCTCTGCTATTTCGGCGTCGGTCTTTTCCTTTTCGCTTTCCTCAACTGGTAGCTTGACGCCTTCTTTGAGGGCGCGTGCGGCGGCCTCCATGGCTTCCTGATGTCGTCGTTCCCGCTCAGCAAGCATTTGCTTGTGGAAACCCTGCATACCAAACTTCTTCTTCATGCCTTCTTCTTCCTCTAATCGCTTCTTCTCCTCTTCCTCGGCTTTGCGCGTCTCTTCTTGCTGCGCTTTGTATGCTCCAGTTACAAACTTCTCCTTGTCGGCGTATTCGTCGCCTTCAGCCTCTCGCTCGCGTTGCAAGAGCTTGTCTCGCGCGCGCAATTGGTCCTTCTTCCGCTGCTCGGCCGATTCAAAGAGCGCGTCCATGTACTTGGGTTTTCGCTGGGCAGCGTCTTCACGGTCGGCTGCTGCTTTTGCAGCATCTTGCGCATGTATGGCATCGTAGGCAGCATCGTAGTCGTAGATGGTGGCATCGACTTCTAGCGCTTCTTGCGCCCGTTTCTCGGCTTCGGCGGCGCTGGCGGAGTATGCAACATTGGTAGGGTCATCTTCTTTCGGCTTGGGTTTCTTGCTCGGAGGAGCTGGCGGCTGGCCCTTTTTTGATTTTGCTGGGGCGGATTTCGAAGGCTCTGAGGAAGCAGATGCGAGTGTATCTTCAAAACTGAGCTCTCCTATCTCTTGGACACCGTCTGCTGCCTTTGCTTTGCCTTTTACATCGTCGTCTTCATCGTCACCAAATAGCGGCTTCTTCTTCTTTGCAAGTCCTGGTTTCGCTCCGACTTTTGCGAGCGGGTTATTACCCTTGGCTTTTACATTTAGCCCAAACTTGAATGACATGATGTGTGTTGTTGCTAGATGATAGGCCAAGTCGCGAACGCGAGTTGGACGTCGCATGCCAAGGCCTTCGCGCACCAGTGAGATCATCAGCACCTCCGCACCTCCTCCGCATCCAACTTTGTTCCATGGTTACAGTCGCAGGCAACCTGTGCATTTTCCTTTTAATGCTCATGCAAGGCTGCGTATTCAGACATCACAGTCCTCATCATGGAGGAGCAGGCTAGCGGTGCGACTGAGGACGGCCTCTACGCCAAAGCCAAGGCTTCACCATTTCACTTCAAGTCTGGCTCCACACGTCGCTCCAGGCGCCGCGATAACGAGGACAATCACGAAGATGCCGACAAGCACAGTCGCAAAAGACACAAAGCAAATCAAGATGAGGATGCGCGACGGCACCACCGACATTCAAGACGTAAACACAAGCACAAGCATCGCACTCATGATGACCGTCATCCCACGTCCACCCGAGACGGCACATACTATGACCCCGACCACCGGCATCGCGAATCTTTGTTCGACAATCTGGGAGAATCAGGCGCAGCATCTCCAGGAATAGCACCCGAAGATGCATTTCGCGAGTCTCTTTTCGACGCCCTTGCCGACGACGAGGGCGCTGCGTATTGGGAAGGTGTGTACGGCCAGCCTGTCCACATCTATCCCGATGTAAAACGAGGCGCAGACGGAAAGCTGGAGCGCATGACCGAGGAAGAGTACGCCGACTATGTGCGCACCAAAATGTGGGAAAAGAGTCACCAACACATCCTCGAGGAACGTGAAGCGAAAGAGCGGGCACGCCAGAAGCGAAAGGCACAGCGCAGCCAACTTGACGAGGAACTCGAACGCGAGGAGGTAGAAAGAGAGGATATACGACGTCGTATGGAGGAGAGTCTGCGTCGGGGTGAAGAGCGCAAAAAGGCCAAAGAAGCAGATGCTGCTTGGGATAGTTATACGGCCAAGTGGGATAGTCTAAAGAACGCTCAACACCCCAACGACGGAGCAGCCACCCAGACACGCGATCTTATTCCATGGCCTGTAGTGTCGGGACAGGCAAAGCATGTGTCCAAAGATGAAATCGAGCGTTTCTTGCGGGCTTCCAAGTCGTGGCGAGAGGATTCTGTTGCACTGCTAAAGGCCGAACGAGTTCGCTGGCATCCTGACAAGATGCAACAACGGTTCAGAGAACATATTGATGCGGATACTATGAAACTAGTCACCGCTGTCTTCCAAATCATTGACCAGTTGTGGAGCAACCGACGTTGATGCGGTTCGAAAAATGCACAACGGACACGGCCCGACAAGGTTTTTCACGAAACTATGTCCTTAAAAAACCCAATCAAAGAAGCGCCGGCTATGACATAGGGGTGCTTTAATCTACAAATGCAAACCCACCACTTCCCCTTCTTGGCAACACGTCACCACCGGTTGTCATCGCAAGTCCTCGGATCTCCAAAGTCCTTGGCGCAATGTATCTATGACCGTACCACGTGGCTTGCCACATGGTGGAACACACGAGTGTGCCGATCATGCCTCGAAAAGTCCCCGAGCGGTGGTCTAGAGACCGGCTAAATGCTTGTTCGCCAGGCGTAACTGCTTTCAACCCCTCCTTGATCAATCCACTTCTGATCATGTGCTGGCGTCCTATGCCCCGAAATTGATATGAGGCACAAGCTAATAATGTACGAATACGAATAGATTGGTGTGCCAATACACGGCAATTCTTAGCTTGACTCTTGGGTGAGCTTGATCAGTCAGTGAAAGCTTGTACCTTACCACGATGCAAAGGACCAAGACTTGTAGTGATAAAACATATCCAAAACAGCAACAAGAAAATAGGATTCGGGTACAGCGGGCCGGTACTTTTCTGGTTATACCGCTATGATCTATGATTGACCATGCTGCATCGGCGTTTGTCGGGCCTATAACATGGAGGGTCAGCATCGACTATTACTTGAATCCCTGGAATAGTAAGTTTCAAATCTGGGAACTTCGCCATCGCGAACACCAAAGGCGAACCCAGTTACGCCTTTGGACTCAGAATAGCCGGTGGGTTCTGGTACTCTGAAGTGCGGCTAAAACATTCTGCGGCCGTTTGCGCGATGCCGCCCCTATGCCCCATATTGCAGCGGTGGCTATACGCCGTTCAATAAACAATCATCTCAACACCGACATAGTATGGTAATTTGTAAGGCCTTGTCTGTTGCATCACATTGCCACTTGCGCTCGGAAGTTGCTAGCAACAAGCATCCTGGTATAATCGCCATCAGTGCACATATAAAGGAACGCGTTGCTCAGAACAAAGAAGGCCATCGAGCATTTCCACAACTTCTACTTGAATCGACACCATGGTTGCCTTCTCTTCTTTCTTGCTTGCCCTTAGCAGCGCCTCTGCGGTCATCGCCTCGCCTCTCGGCCTCGTTCTCGATGCAAAGGCCCGCCACGAGGCAAACAGTCTGAGCACTCGCTCCACTCAACCTGGAACTGGTATCGACAATGGCTACTTCTACTCCTTCTGGACTGATGGCCAAGGACAAGTCACTTACAACAACGGCCCTGGTGGCCAGTACAGCGTACAGTGGAACAATGTGAACAACTTCGTAGCTGGCAAGGGACGGTACGTAGACTGCAGCATATCCATATGGCGACCTTTTTTTTTTACCACGATACTAACAGCCACCCCCAAAGAAACCCGGGAACCACCCAGCCATTCACGTACAGCGGGACCTGGAACGCCCAAAACGTCAACTCGTACATTTCCGTGTACGGCTGGACCCGCAACCCACTTGTTGAATACTACATTGTTGAAGCCTACGGCTCCTACAACCCTTCATCTGCTGCTCAGATCAAGGGCTCCATCACAGTCGACAATGGCACATACGACATCCTGCAAACCACACGCTACAACCAGCCCTCCATCGACGGCACCGCCACCTTCCAGCAATTCTGGTCCGTCCGCCGTCAAAAGCGCGTCGGCGGCACCGTCACCGTCCAGGTAACGTCCCTCCCTCCTCCATCTCAAATGCACTCTCAACCCAACCCCAATAACAACAACAACGTGTTGAGGGACAAAGCGAGACTAACAGGGAAACCTTTTTGTCCAACAGGCCCATTTTGATGCTTGGGCCAAGTACGGTCTTACGCTTGGTCAGCACAACTACCAGATCCTTGCTACCGAAGGTTACCAGAGCTCCGGTTCGGCTACCATTACCGTTCAGTAGTTATCCCCTAGACGCCGCCGCCCCTGTTGTGGACGTTTTAGAACGTGGGGAGTTGGACAGTGGAGAGAGAAAGACAGAGAGAGAGGGAGGCTTCCCAAAGGGCAATTTCGGGACGGGACTGGTATCCCCCCCTTATTTCTTTTATACATGTATTCTTTTCACCACCTCCTTGTGCATAATCAAAGAAACCGAAAAAAAAAATCTCAGTCTATTGAGAATTGTTCTTGCCATGCTGTTTTATTTTTCTTTGGTCTACGACGTATGCGCCCCTCGTAATCCCCAATCATCCAATTTTTTTTTTTGCCGTGACATGTTTTGACGTTGCCATGTGGGCGATCTGTGCTTTTTTTTTTTTACTTTACTTGACGGATTATGAGGCCGTGGAAAAAGTAAGCTGACATGATGAGGCTACCCCTCCCCCCGGGCTACTCCCGCTGACACGGTGTTTCATGTGCAAACCCTTCTTGTTTTGAAACATATGCAGGGCACAAAGGCGGGATGTGGGATGGGGGGGGGGAAAGAAAGATGTTGAGAGAAGTTGTGTTGAAAGCAATCAATCTGAAGGGGGGTGGGGTAGGATGTAGCGTAAGGGGGGTTATTACTCAATGGTATACTTTCATGGGACGTTGGGCATAGTGAGGTTGTGCTGTGTCTACGTCGTTGGAAGGGGGAAGGTTGGTAGAACAAAAGGAGATGATGGATGATGTGGTTTTTAGATGTTGTTTTTTTTTCAACTCCCCCATGACCAACCACCTTCTTTCTTGAGCCGCAGTGTTTCGAGGTCAGCACGAAGATCGACGTTTTTTTTTTGTGTTGTAGGGACAAACTGGATGACCTTGGAAAGGCAAGCGCGGTAGCCTTTATTCCCAGTCAATGCATTCTTTGAACAAGCAGAGCTTGCGTCCAGACTGTCTACGTGGAAAATAACAAGCTGGTCTATTTTACGTACATACCCATACCTAGACTCACACAACCTGGATCTCTCTGAAATCAGAAATCAGAAATCAGGAACCGAGATGGCCATCAAAGTTCCTTTTTTTATTCAAGAAATCACACCCCCATGATTCTCACTCGTCTCTTGCTACACTTCTCGCATATTACCCTACAGCGCTACATCCGCTTGTGCAAATCCGTTCACCAAAGGTACAGTGTTGCAGATGGAAGGGGGGTGAGAGCTGAAATATGCTAAGACGTAGTGCAGGAATGGCCGAGTAGAAAAGGTGCGTTCGGGGGATCAAGGCTGACGACCCTCGAGATTAGTCACCGCGTGCTGGTACAGCTGTCTTTTTTTTGCCCTTGCTCCGCGGAAGGACTGGGGCGCTTAATGTGAAGAGGCAAGTGTTGAGACTCGCCCGCGGGAGCCAAGTCAGATGTGAGTATAACAAAGACTTGTTAAGTTTGGACACGTCTTTTATCTCGTGAGACGATGTGGATAATAAACAATGTAGAGAATCCTTGTTACCAGTTGACAACTAGTTTGCTACCAGGCCGTGCTATCTGTGCTGCAACATGTGGGTACGTGCGGGAGATGAACAACGAATGCTCTGAGATGTTCTAGAATACCAACGCATACCTTGTCTTCCTTCGTGGAGGCCGAGTCATGACCATACACTCATGAAGTATGCGCTCTGGTAAGATAATCTTGCCGAGGAAAGCATTCATGTAGGCTTCTCTGGTAGATAATCTTCCCGAGGAAGCACCACTACATGTGTACCCTTTCTTGGCAACACCACCAATGTCTACGTAGAAGACCACCTAGTCCTTCTTCAGATAATTCACCAAATCGACCACCTCAGCACGCGACATGGCGGAGCTGATAGTCTGATAGGCTTCATAGAGAATCCAGAGAGGAAAGACGACCCAAAGACCGTTGAAGAATGTGAGATAGAGCCAACTGAGTTACTTGTCAGTTTTGGAGTCCTCGGAGCCAACGAACTATCCAAGAGTGAAACTGTTGATATCTAAAAGCGACATATTGAGCTCAAGATGGAGACTGTGGTACGTTGCGTCGACTTGTGTCGTCCTGTGTATCGAGGGATCGGAGGGTTATTGTGGGCCAGTCGGCCAGCATCCAGTGATTATGCAGGGCCAACACATCACGTTTGGATGTCAGAAGTTCTGGACAAGACGTTGCTGTTTGGCGTCGACGCAAGGGACATGTCCAACAGCATTGGGGCCTGCCGGCTATCCAGCCGGGACTTGGCGTGGGCCGTTTACCCATCGAAACGCAGACATGCAAGAAAGCGATGTTGGCCAGGAACAGGGCATGGGGGAAAAAAGGGGAAAATGCACTTACAGGTACATCCAGTTGCTGGTATCGAGATTGGGACTTCCCGTCAGCCACTCAGGTGCGAATGTCATCCAGCCTAGTGGAGCGGTGAACCACGTGTCAGCCTCATACTCGCAACAACGCAGTGTCATCTCGCCTCAACAATTGCTCGGGCCGGGCCCACATGTCGCCTCACCAATAGTGATGACAGCGGCGAGTTTCACATGTTACATGTCCACCGTAACAAGAAAAAAAAACGGATTGATGTTTGTTGTGCACTTACCTCCATATATCTCTGCCGTGGCTAGAACTATCATCCAGAAATACTTTTTCAGCACGCCTTTCTTTTCATCCTTGGAGAGCAGATAGCAAATCCAACACGCTAACGGGCCAGCCACGAAAACCGTCAGAATCTCGAGCGTGACCACGGTCAGATCGGTACCACCCCATCGCTTGTCCGCCTTTGCATACTCCTGCCACAGTCGACTGAAGGGACCGGTTCCATAGTTTGCGCCGTAGAGCAAATCCTCCCGACCGAGCCAATACACATCCGGCGGGGTGAAGAAGGTGATTTGTGGATGATGGCGCGATGCGGACGAGAAGGAAGTCGGGAGCGAATACGTGACAAAGAAACAGTTCCAGAGGAAGGAGCCTTCAAAGACAAAGTGGATCAGAGCGTCGAATAGGTGCCAGATGAACAGAACGCGCGTCTTGGTGGTCGTGGCCTTGGGCAGGACTTTGACGGATGCTGCATAAGCGCCGCCGAGAAGAGCCAGGACTGCTAAGAGCGACACGACAGTTGTTGCGTCGATTTCCGGGCCGGAGCGAGGGATAGGTGGCGGGGGAGGCGGAGGCGGAGCCTTCTTGCTACCAAAGAAGGACATTGTGACACATAAACGGCAGAGGCAAGGTCACGATGGTGGCTCGGGCAGGAATGGGCCGAAGAGTGCTGTGAAATGTTTGCGCTTGGGCGAGATGAAGTTGGGAGGACGACTCAGTGCCCAATCGTGAAATCGCATAGAGGGCTAGTTGGCCAGAAAACGGCAGGCGGTCAGCGCCTGACGGGCATTACCTCCGAGGCAGAACGTCTAGCGAACAGTCACATGGCCTGGCAGGCCCACGATCCAAGCCCAATGGCCTTATGTTCGGCCGTAGTAATGCTCACGGGGTACATGCAAAGTGGGGGGCATCGTGAGATTCGGGTAAGTTTTTATGCCATGTCTTTTGCATTTGCTAACAGCTATATAGGGCCGAGTGTCCCGCTTTCCTCTCAGAGCTGAGCGACAATCCTCGAAACCACCACACACACACACCACACACACACACACACACACAATCGGAACACGGCCAACCGAAAACACAATCTCAACCAACGCAATTTGATACTTCTTACAACAACCAACTCGCACTTTGTCTGTCCTAGTGCCTATATACGAGCATCCGAATCGACGAATTCTGGGGATAACAGAGAGAAAACACGCTTCAAATGCAAATCAAAACCAAGCTTTTGCGAACCGCACATCAGAAACGACCGTCAACAAACGCCGGGGGACCAGAGTGGAATCGCTCATGGAGCATCGCAGTCCGCTCGACAGTCGGGGAGAGGAAAAGAAAATGACCCAAGAATAAACGTGCCCAAGGAACACCATGATGAAACCCAGTTTGCGCCCATGAAAAGAAGAATGAGATGCAGGAAAGACCAATGTGGAAATGCAGCAAACAGGCCGGCCGAATGATGCTACAAGGGCGACGTCCTGAGGAGGACGGCGCAAAAAAGGCAATGGCTGGCCCACTACAACGTTTCGTACCGTGATGAAGAAGATTCGTGAGCGCTCTGCACCTGGAGGACCAGGAACGTCCGCTCCACTCGGCCAATCATTCTGGCCGTAAGCGTACTTCGTGTCCAAGGAGATTCGTTAAACGAAAAAAAAAAGCATCCGTGATTTAGGTAGGATGGTGAGTTTTTGTTTTTGTTTTTGTTTTTAGACACAAGCCTGGGGTGTGTGGCTGCGTTCGGTAAAGGCGCCACCTGGCATCGTGTAGCCATACTCATACGAGGAGGCGTAACGGTCTTCAGGTGCATAGCCGGTGACAGGACCGGGAGAAGCTGAACGAGGTAAGAATGAGACAGAGTCACTGGCACCATCTGTCATGAGGGGCATGGCAGGGGACGCAGGACTGCTGGTAACAGACGACTGGTTGCTTCCAGAGCTGTTGTGCATGTAGTCAAGAGCTCCGTCACCTTGCGTAGGCTTGACAGCAGGCGTGGTGACATTTGGAGAGGTTTTCCCAGTCGGGGTGCCAAACTGGATGCGAGTCAGTCTCCGTCTAGGCCAATCGATCAGGGTGCTGAGATGGAGGTTGGGAACGTACAAAGCAGAATTTTTGGATCAACTCGTTGTACTCTGCAGACTGAAGATCGGGCTTCTCCAAAGTCAGTGAGTCAGGACGGGCGCCGGGAATAGGAGCACTGGTAGCGTGAGACTGAGCTGTAGGAATTGAACGATCAAAGTAGCCTTTGTTCATCTTGTCCTTGTCCAACTTCAGTCCACTGCGGTCACCAAGTGCGGTTTGAGCGTTGGACAGAGCAGCAGTGAGAGATGCACCAAAGTCATAGCGAGAGGCGAAAGCCTGGCTGACCTGCGAAGGTGGAGCCTGGTTCTGGGGAACGGTACGCTTGCTCTTGGGCTTCAGCTTGATGACCGAGCTAGGTGATTCGCCGATGATGGCACGTCCGCTACCAAACTGGAATTTGGTCTCGAACTCGTGGCCAAAATCGTCGTCAAACGAAGCAGCGGGCATCGAGCGTGGGCGGGGAGCAAGAGGTGAGTGCCTGCTACGGGGGACAGCACCCAGGCTAGCAGTGGGGCGCTTGTGTCCCCGTTGCTTAGCCTTCTTGATGAAGTCAACCTGGTAGTTCATGGCATTGTTGTTGTCCCAGTACTCTTGGCCATTGACCTGGTAACGAACGCACAGCAACAGAGTCTTGGACTCGAGGTTGGCTTGGTCAGCCAACTTGATGTTGAAGTTGAAGCGGTCGTAGCCGTCTTCCTTTTGCTTCTTGCGGACGTCGTGGTTGAACTCAGCAACTACTTCTGATGTAGTCTTCCAGTAGTCGAGCGTGAAGCGAGCCACGACGAGCTTGTGGAAGGACAAGTTGGCAACGGCAATGTTGCCAACCAGAGTCTGGTGATCAGAAGCAAGGAAGATGCGCTCAACCCGGACAGGGGCAGTCTGTCGCTCGTAGCTATTCGACGAGGGGAAGTTTGCAAGCTTGATGTCCCACTCAGGTGCCTTGGACCGCGAGTTGTCCGAGAACGGGTACTCGCTCTCACTGTCATAGGTCTCGACGGGTGACGAGCCTGCACTGACAGCAATGGGTCGGTCGACCTGGAGGAAGTGGCGTACCTGCTCAATCTCCTCGTTGAAGTGCACCGCCTTGGAGTAGGTGGGGGTGCCAGGCATGCTGGATGGGCGACGCCTGGAAGGAGGACGGAGAGCTGGCTTGACAAGCTCACCAGACTTCTTGCGTAGTAGCAGAGGTTTTATCCGGAGCTCATCGTCCTCGGCATCACTGCCATCAGACGAGCTGATAATGGTTTCTGTGTTGATGGGGTGCATCATGTGCTGAGAGAGCATGATCTCGCTCGAGGAGCGCGAGTGTGCAATCTTGCGTGCTTCGGCCGAGAGAGAGCGTGCCAGGGTGACGGGTGGTTGGGGCTTGGAGTCGTTGACCCTCTCGGTGACCTCGGTGGAAGGAGATGACTGTCGCTTCTGGTCGATGCCTTGGAGGGCCTGTTGCAGTTCACGTAGGTCCCCTACGCGGCGTCCACGTTCTTCATCATCCGAGGAATCAGGAGGCGTGGTAATCGCACCTGGCGGAATCAGAAGATCGTTTACAGGAGGAGGAGACGGGCGTAGGCTACCGTTTGTGGATGGGCCATGCTGGGTGGCATCGGACTTGGTGTCAGTGGTGGTGTTGGGAGACAGCCCGTTTGCAACAGTGTTCTCTATTGTGACCGATGTCGACGACCGCCGTGACTTTGCGAGGTACGAGGTTGACGAGACGGAGCGAGGCAGTGACGGGCGACGGGTCGTCACCGGCGAGTGGGGTGGCTGATCGACATAGGAGTGATTCCGGCTTAGTGTGGGACTGCTAGTCTTGGAGGTTGCCGGCGACCGCTGTGAGGGAGGTGTGTAAGGCATTCGGTCGGCTTCGTGGGATGCTGGGAAGCAGGTCGAACGAGTAGATGGAGAGGGCAATCAAAGCGTAGAGAGCATTAAAAGAATTACTGTAGCGAAAAGTCTGGAAATGTGAGGGTAAGCGAGTGAACGGACCCCGACAAACAAGGAAAGTTTAGCAGGCACAAAGCCGTGGGACGGCTGAGTAACGACGACGACGATGATGACGATGATGACACCGAGTGATTGTTTTTTTGGTGGGGGTCGGGACTTACAAAAGTAGGTCGAGGAAGTGGTCGGAAAGCTGGTTCGTGGGGGGAGACACGGGCAGGAAGGGTCGCGACGAAGAATGTCACAGCTAGTGAAAGCTGCGATGACGTCGGGGATAGCGGAAGCAGGCGGTCTGCTCAAGGCGAGACGCCAGACGCAAAGTGAAGCTGTTGATGAAGCAACGGGATGCGGCGTCGTGATGGACGGGATGCTCCGGTGCAGGCAGGCAGGCGGACCACGGCGTGATATGGGCCTGGGGAGGGCAGGTACCGTGGGGTGAGACGACGGTTGGAGGGAGGAGGCCGCAGGGTCGAGTGTCAAACCAAGAAGCAGTCGATGGTGTGCAGTCGTGGTATTAAAGGGTCTGCGGCGGCAATGGACCCAGCAAGTGTTGAAGAGGAGGAGGGATGGGGAAGAGTGTTGAGGGCGGTAGCGCAGAAGAACGTGCAGGGCGGCGACTATTGGGGAGTCGTTGGATTCGGGTGGTGAGAAGCGATTCTAGCCCGGCGGTCATGGAGCAGGGGGGGTGTGGACAGGGACAAGGGAGCAAGATTTAGCGCGCCGCTCAACAAGCCGGGGGGGCCAGCACCAAGGATTTTCGCACGCAGCCAAGCGGCAGCGTCCGGTTCTGACTACTGCTGCGAGAAGACGACGACGACGACTACGGCGGGAGGGGGGGGGGAGGCTGCTAGTGCGAGGGCAGTGAAGCCGACGGCGGAGGGCGAAACACGAGGTACGATGAGGTACAAGAATGTATCGGGCGGTTGGCTGCTTGCTGCTCCTGCTGCTGCTTGCTGCTCGCACCACCACCCAGCGGCCATGGGCGAGCGGCCAGCGGTGCAGCCAACCCACCCCAAGAGGCCGCCAGCGCCGGCTCTAGTACCAAATGCTATCTTGTTTATCTCCCGACGTCAAGCGAAGGGCGAGCTGGCCTCGCTGGCACGGCCACACTTGGAAACGGTGCAGGCAGGCCGGCCGTGTTGGGTTGGCTGTTTGTGGTCCCGTACAGATGATAAATTACTGCGACGGCCATGGGCGGGCGTGGCTCTGGTCCAGCACACACGTACATGCGTACACACACACACACTCGATACATACTATGTAGATGCGGACAGACATGGCTTGCGACTTACTCCATCCAGACGGAGGCTGCTGGCCGGCGTGTTGACGGAGGCGCGTCGAGGCCCGGCCGCTATCAGCAGCCCGACAGCAGGGCCGGAGAGTCGTGGGGGCGGCGAGGCCTGGCTGGGCAGTGACTGTGGTCAGGCTGTGGTCAAACAGCGACCGTTCGCAATCTGCCACTCAGCCGTTGGGGGACGGTGGACGGTGGACGGTGCTCGTCTCAGAAGCAACAAGCGAGTCGAGCGTCTGCGTCCCTCGTTGCGTGCGTGCACGCCCCCCGTTCTCAAGCGAGCCCGGTGCCAGTGCCGTCCAGACGTGATGTCATTGTTTTTTCTGCTGCGCCGTTTTTTCCCATGCCCTCGAACGGCGCTTGTGTGTGCAGCGCTGCATCGCTCGCCAACTGACCGCGACCACGAAGACGACGCTGAACACGTCCACGGTTGTTGTCCGACACGTAGCAGTGGAGCCGTGGCGGTGCCTGGATGATCGGACGGGCATGGGAGCCGCCCTCGCACCTCGCCCGCGCTCGCGTGAAAAAATATCCCTTCCCCCTCCCTCCGCGACACGCAGCAGGCAGGCAGCGTGAGGATCGCCGGTGCCGCTTGCCGCCTGCAAAAAAAGGCGGTCGGCCCACGGCCAATCAGCGCCCGCCCCAGCAAGCGACGGGCTGGCATGCCATCCCAGCCGCAGTTCTCCCAACCCCTGCGCCTGATATCTCGTCTCGTCTGCGTCCTGGCCAGCGCGTGCTCTGCTCTGCTCTGCTGTTGCTATCATTACACTGCCCGCCCGCCCTGGCCGTCTGGCGCTCCATGGGCCCATCCCGCAACCTTGCCTCTGCCCTGCCCCTTCTCGCCAGCCCGCCATGTCATAGGGCAAAGAGAGAGCAGCCTCTTGTCGGCGTCCTGCTTGCGGGGATCTCGCAGTGCGTCTCCCTACGGCAGCTTATCCACCTGCTCGAAGCCTTGGTCGCAGAGCCAGCATGTTGCCAGCCTCGTGCCATTGGCTGTGTCCGGCACCGACACACAAGCCCTTCACGGCTTCCCCGCATTTTGCCCTCTAGCCTGGCCACCGCCGTGCATGTTGCTCCTGCTACGTATGTATGTAGTAGTATGTATGTAGTATGTATGTAGCGTGAGTCTACAAGACGCATGGCCTGCAAAGGCACTGCCCTGGCGCCCAAAGTGGCCGAGCCGATGTCCTGCCATAGCCCTCGGCCAGCCCTCGCTCGTTGCTATTGCCCGCATCCCTCGTCCCACGGTTCCTTGATTATTACGCGCGCCTAGGCACGCGTCTCCGTGGAAGCTGCCCACGGATGCTCTACGACAACGTGCGGCTCGCTCGGAGGCCGACGCTTCCACTGGCCAGGTCAAAAACTTGCTTTGTTTTCGAAGACGCTTCCATGCACCGGCCTGCGTGTCTGAATCGCGCTTCGCTCGCTAGAGCACTCTACCTCTGCCGCTTTCTGTCTTCACCACGCTGCATTTAGAAGGGGTCGCCACGTGCACATGGTACATGTATGTACTCATGTATGTCCAAGTGTGTGTGTGTGTGTGTGTGTGCCTGTGTGCCTGTGTGCCTACTACCGCAAGACGCACAACAGTCAGCAGAGCACATCGCTTCGTGAGCCGCACCATGCTCGGGCCTGCCTGCATGGAAAAGAAACAATGCGATGCCTCTGGCGAGGTCATTCGCATCAAAAATGCTCCCATGGAGCGGCACGCTGAAACCACACCCTCGCACCTGTCGCGACGTCTGGATTGTGGCCAGACCACTGCCCGGCCATGACGCTAGCCCCCATCATACCCAGCGCCTCCGCACGCCCCACATGGCGTCATGTCATGTCCCACTGCTGCATTTTGCCCGGCAGAAAATCAAGCGCGCCCCTCCATTCAGTTGCCATGGAGCTGCCGACCCCATCACCGCCCGACCGGGGCACGGACTTGTTATCATCGATGTTCGTACACTTTATCGATCCCCACCCGTTTGCTTGGCTGAGCTATGGCCAGATCCGCATCCCGCTAGTCCGCTTTGCCTCGCCCTCCGACCCATCACGATCGCGACGACACACTCTCCATCGCCATGGGCAAATCATTCGGTGCGACTCACCAGCCATCACTTTGACCACATTGCCATGTACCTGTTATAAACACGGCCCTTTTGTTGCAGAAATGCCTGCTTTTCTGCCTTCACTTCTTCTCCACCAGCCGAGACAACAACACCAGAGAGCAAACTAGTCTGCCTCTCCAATACACTCCGTTCCGGAAGGATGCGCATCCGCCGCCTATGCCTAGAACCCGTCATCGTCCAAGATTGCTCCCTCGCCGTCACGCTGATCACATGGCCCCGCCGTTGTTCGCAGTGACGACCTTGTTCCGTTGTTAGGCAACCTGTCAGCCAGTTCCTCAGCCCATGGCGTGCTCAAGAAAAATTGCTGCTCGACTGCCCACAATATATTGCAAGCGAAGAGTCGCACGACACACACTCTCTCTCTATTGCCATGCATGTCCACGCTCGGCTGAACTTCCCGTTGTTTCACGCAATCTCGCACCAGTCTCCTTAGTAAAATGTGCCGTGGTTGCTGTCCAGAAGCAGCACACCAATTAAGCGTCAGTGCTCATTCATCACAACGTCACAATGATTTTCGATGCCGGACATGACACGTACACGTAATACGAATCATGCCACGGACCACCGAAGCTGGAATTGCATCCCCACGCCTACGGCATTCTTGTGGAGATGTCGATTCCCCTAACAGGATCACGATAGGTGATGTCAATTCTGGCTTTTCGTCCAATATAGTCATAAAGGAGAATCGAGGCATTCTGTTCCTATCCGCACGTCCCGAACAGGCCTACCCTGCCCTGTCAACCACTGAAACACATGTGGTTCTCCCTGCAACATTCTTTTAGAGCGCTCACCGCTATTCCAATCCCCCCCCCCCCGGTTCCCGCGCTACCCCATATTACTAGTATCACAACGCCTGGTGATGAGACTACTTGAACGTAAAAAATCACTGCAAGTGTGCATGGCCTTGATTGCCATGATGCCAGACCAAGCCGGTATTGTGGCATCATCTCATGGACGGCGGGCCGAAAAGGGTGCTTTCCCCCTCTCCCGAGATAAGACTCAGGAAAGGGCCGATGAGGATCATGGTAGGCAACTCTGTTCGTACCTCATATTGCAGTGGAGACCAGCATCATTAATACGATGGTGTGGTGAGAATTAAGCAATATGACCGCACACATGCATACATACTACATACATCTCCAAACATCAACGGAACGGCTGCAATCCACTTTCCAACACCATGGTTCAAAGCGAAGCTATATTAACAAATCTTGCGGGGGGATTTGGTTCGGGTAGCTCTATGCCAGTGGCAGCACTGGGCAAGCCTCGCGCAAAACGGCAACTCGATTAGCAGCTTGCCAATGGCTGGTAGCCCGCGTAAGCTCCAACCTCAAGTCCATATACTTTATTGGTCTGTTAACGCGGGCATTACGTGTGTGCCTGCGTTGGAACCAGCAGACGAGCTTCACTTGTCGACTTGTCCAATACTATAACGCGGCATCTCTACGGAGCAAGTCTCCAGACCACTCGCGACAGTTGTAGTCAAGAGAGAGAGAGAGAGAGAGAGACGAGGCCATGCAGGGCCTGCCATCTACCTAATTCCTTATCTCAGCGTCCAGCAGTGTCCACCCTCCTTCCCTATACGGCTGGTCGACAGGGCTTCAAGAATCTCCGGACTAAGTAACATGCACTCGCATATGAAGCAAACACAATGGAGTATTTGTTCCCTCCGTCGTATCTGATGACCACCCGCGTCTCCAGACAGTGGATGTAAGCAAAGTTGGATGCAGGGAAGGCCTGAAGAATGCACTACAAGCGATACGAATCATCTCATTGATCGATAACGGCTGTCCCGGCACTGTCGCGCTCCTCAGACGAAGCAGGTGAGAGATGGCTGCAGGCCTCCATCTCACATGTCACAGATTGCCCGCCCCTCCCCTCATACGTCTCTTGTGCATCCACTCGTTTCTTTTGTTGCTATCAACGTGAGCCACAGACGCGCAACACCATCTCTGCAGATTCCCAAGTCTATTTCTCCGTCCGCCAGTCTCCCTGACGTGCAGTCGTACCGTTGCAGACGACGCTGGTAAGATCGCTTTGCACATCAGTTTCCCAATCCAGGAGCATAGTTCGTCTGTCAATCGTTGCATGCACACAACGTGCGTGGGCGTAACGCCTGCAGCATCTATGCGCAGGCCTGTTCTCAACAAAAGCACCCCCGCCCTCCACACTCTAAATCGGGCGGAATGGCTTATGCCCACTAATCAACGCAACACAAGGGATGCCTTGTGGATACAAAGAGGGGTCTGCCGATTTCAGGAGAGGGTGCGCGTTTGAGATGGATGGTCGGACATGAACCTACAGGCCATGGTGTAGTGCGGGGTATCTCTTGTCGGTGGTGCTAGACCTCAACGCCACACCGATATCCACACCGATATCCACACCGATATTCACACCGATTTCTGTGAGAAGCACATTGTCATGAGAAGGCAAGGCTACGATAGAGACGCTGTTGAACGTTGGTGTGTGTGCCTGCTTGGCATGTATTGTAAGATGTTGTGCAACTCGAGGCTGCATAGCCAGCCTCTCACCTTCGTTTCCGGACGCCACTCGTCAACGGTGAGAGCGCCTTCTCGAGTCTCGCCATTGCTTTTCCTAGCACTGCAGTACACTGGATACACAAGTGCCGGTACGGGTACTGTGTTTATGTGAGCAAGCATCCCCCATACCGAAACCCTGAGCCGAACAGTTGCATGCATCTTGCCCTTCACCCAGCTGTGGCGTGTGCAGCGGGAGGATTGTCCCAACGAACCAGGGCTTTGCGGCATCCTAACCAAGCCGAGTGTCGCGTTCAGCACATCAGATACCAGGGCGGACGCTTTTGCTCCTTCCAGGGACAAGATACAGAAAGCTGATGTCATGGAGAGGGTGAGCTTGCCATGATTGCAAGATTATGTATACATAGGTAAGCAGGCGTATGTAAGCGTAGTCTGCTTAACTAGAGTATGTAGAGCCGTGCTATCAAAAAAGCAGATGCCCCACAAATAATACGGGGTGGCCACTGCGTACTGAGAGCCTAGACGCAGGGAGCAAGGAGGGTGGGCAGAATTTCTTGTCGCACTAGACCATATCGGCATTAGCCTTAAAGACTTTGCTGCTGTATTCTTAGCACAAGCCAATCTCCTCTGTCTACGTTCATTTCCTCATGACACGACTACTGCAGTCAGTGAACACTGCCGACGACGACGACACAATCAAACCCACAATGTGGAAGCCACTTGACTAATAGCACCGTCCAACTGCAACCTCTCAGGCAGATTTCCGAGGATGCTGTGTCGCTAATACCACCGTTGTAGAGCCGCAATCACAGTAGCTTACGGTGCCAATAGAGCGGCGAATTCCCAACAACTAACCAACCAGCCAACCCAGTCCGTTTTCTCCACCATCGATACGCTTTGATCCTTGACCGGCATCAGCCACAAACTGTATCGAGTGTAGCATCAGCGTTTACACAGGGTCCACGGAGCCTCACCCAAGCCGTCTTCTTGGTCCTTGTGGAGATGACTCCGAGATATGCCAGCCCGAGTCGCAACGCCGTGTTAAGGGATTGCGTGCAGCATAAGCCAAGAGACGGGTGAGCTTGTCTACCGGGCCGCTTGGACGCAGCTGCAGGAGATAGGCGACGACACCATGGAATTTAAAATGACTTTGACGGAACGCAAGGCTGGGTGAACTGTCAGAGTGGCAAGGCTACGTACGTACACCTACGTGTTTGCATACATACTTGTGCAGATCCCGTGTTGGACTGCATGTCTGGGGTAAACCAACATGCAGACAGGACGGGCTGCCGTCATTGCTGTCGCTCAACATTCAACGTTATCTCCCTAGAACCGTTTCCATGTAATAATACAATAGACAGCAACCCCTTTGTCTTCGCTATCTACCCTCCAGTACGGTCCGAATACGATATGAGCTTTCGACTTAGCATTGAGCGCCGGTAGCTCTCGAACCGCGGTATCCCAATCAACGGACCCTGCGGCTCATACTAACTCCGAGAAGTCGACAGGGTCTTCCAGGGTCCAGAAGGGTGTGTGTGTGGGATTCAATCCTTAGAGAGGCAAGGCTGGCGATCATAGCCACACAAAAAGTCCCAACATGCGCCGAACATCTCAGCAACATCTTCAAATCGAGATGATGGTGGGTGGTCATCGGTCGTCTCCGACATGGTTGTCGACCCACCCTGAAACCATCTCCCAAAATCCTTGATCCATGACCACAAGCCGTTCTCCATGTTCTCTCCACACGCCTCGCCAAACCCGCCCCAACATAAACTTTTTTGAAACCGCTGCACTCCAGATCCCCACTTCTTTCTTTTTTGGCTGAGCGCCCTCGTCAGACACATACTGCAATCATGCAAACAATACACCGGTTGTCAATGCACGGCGCGCACCCACGCACAGCGGCGGCGGCCCCGCACGGCCCAAATTCACTAACTCCAACACCATCAGCAAACTCGAACTGTTGAGAGTGGGGCCCGTCTTCGCTCCCCTCCTCCTCCTCTCCTCTCTTTGTCTCCAGCCATAAACTTGCCTCTTTCGCTCAAACACCCTTATCCGCCCCATGGTCATGGTCTCGTGCTACCTCTCCGTTTTTCCTTTCAGCTGTGTATTATGTGGAGACTTGCCGAGCAATGGCTTCCTCCACTCCTCCACTCCCCCCTCTCTTCCCTCTCGCCTCATCACAATAGTACATCACACTAGACGTGTCATTACTTCATTGCCGCTCCCCCTTCGCTCCGCTTCGCTACCTCTGCCCATGTTTGTATCAAAGTCCACTCTTTCTCTCCACTTTACCGCGGAGATTCCATGGCGCGCGCCGGGGGGGTGAGTCAAGTAGGTATGTAGGTAAGGGGGCGATGGGAGAGGGCGCCTGCGGTTAGGGCGTTAACTTCAGACTGCTAAGGTTGCGGACTTGCTTGACTTGAGAGTGTGGGGATAATTCGGTATTGAGTGGGGGTGGGTTTGGATGGGACAATACAGAGACTCATGGAACTTGGCGGAAGCTAAGGTGATATGAGCATGCCTTCCGCAGCAAGTCTGCCTTGCCTGCTGATTAGTCTTCGGGCGGATCCCGAAATTCGGGAAGGGGGACAAGAAAGATGAGGCTTTTGGAGAAGTAATCGGGCGGTGGACCCCCAAAGAAGAAAAAACACGGGACATGACTGTAGTAAGTTTGTTAGGTCACGACCTTTGACATGTCTTTCTTCCTTTCTTTCTTTTTTGATTTGCTGCTGCAAGGAAAAAGATGGTGCTTAGCATTACATGAATGTGCCGAAATGTGCATATTTTTTTTTCGCTATCCGAACACGGGACTAGGTCACCTGTAAAACCCATTCTTCGTTTTGAGATCTAGACTAACTACGAAGGGAGGGGAGGGGGGTTGGTTGGAAGGTCATCTTGACCTACTATGTACAGACATCTCGTAGCTAGCCCTGATTTTCCTTTGCCATGTGAAACTTTTTTTTTTCTCCATCTCCTTCTCTCTCTTTCTCTTGCATCTCCCCTCTCCCTCCCTTCACAACCGCTCTAAATACGCAATCATGAACTCGATGAATGCACCGTCGCAAGCGTACTGTTTCTGCCAGGCACAATGGGCAAGCTCAAAGTGACATTTGGAGCACCAGTAAGAGTGGGGAAGGGAGGGACAGCGGGAAGAGTAGGTGTCACATGCGGGTTTGGATTTGGTTTTAGCTCGCAGGGATTGGGCCCCGGTAGCGGTGTAGGCAGGTAGAGTTGCTTGCACTGCCCAAAAAGCACACACCATTAGTTACACTGAAAAAAGAAGGCGAAGCGGAAAGAGAATGGAAGACAAGAGTAAGATGAGGGGAAAAAGGATGTACAAAGAACAATATGGAAAGAACTTACAGCACGAGTTGGCTTGGGGCATCCACCTGCTGCTTGCATGTAGCAGGCGTAAGAGAAGTTTTCTTCAAAGTAACATTTCTACCGAGCAAATCATGTCAGGGGGTTTCCATGCAACCTTTGTTTGTCTCTACAACACTTCCTGTTTTTTGTTTTTTTTTAAATGCTTCGCTTTGCTTACCTGTAGCGCATCAGTAGCCCAACATGGGTACTGAGCCGTGGCCAGCTGACACTGGCACTGCTTGGTGAAGATGGGAATGGGCTCTCGGTGCGGCTTCTTCGAGTGACTTAGCGATTTGCCGTAGTTGTCGTCGTCGTCGTCGTCATCTTCACCGTCGTTCTCCGGGTCGGGCTCGATCGAGGGTATCGCTGTGACTGGGATGTTGAGAGACGTCGAGGCCGGTATGGCAACAGTCGATGTTGGTAAGATCTCCGAGAGCGAAGTGAGTGGGGCTGTTGAGTCGTCGCTAGCTTGAGGGTGTGGTATAGCTGCTGCTAGCACTTGCAGAATGCTGATCAAGAGGAGGCGGTGCATGTTGGTGCTTTTGCTGAACGGTGTATGTAGTCGACATACAAAGGTCAGCAGTGTGATACTACCTGTTTGTACTTCTGCATTCTTTTCTGCACCATTCCAGCGTTACCGCGCCTCGGCGATTCATCTTTACATCCATAAGATCCATATTGCAATGGCTTGCACTTCATATTACAATTTCCCATGAACGGCCTTGTAGTACCGTATACTTGTACAAATACAAGTCTTTTCCATCAAAATGAAACATGTAAAGCCATCGCGTAGTGCAAGGTTTATTGTATTCTGTGAAATAGGCAGCGTTGAGATTTGCCAAAGTGAAGTCGGTACTCTACGATGCTTGGAGGTACCAGGGTCGGCGCGTCTGATTGGCTGCTGTCATGTAGCCTAATATGGAAATGCTATATCTTTGCGTTTAACAGCAGGAAATAGATTACCGAACGCGACGACGGCCGAGCACGCCAGTGCCAAAGAGGAATGTCGCCATTCCGAGCCAGTGCTGCGCCAAAGCATGGTGGCTCAGCTCGGAAATGTGGCACAGGTGTTGTCCCCACGACACATGTCATTCTTCAATAGCACGATGGCGTGATACCAACTGTAAGGGCTCGTCTTGCGTCATGTCCCGCTTGATGGGCTCTTGCTTTCCCTCAATTACCAGAGGACAGTGCGCGGTTTGACATGAGGTAGGTCCAAGCCCGTCGTTGAGTGGTTGAATGGATTCCTCAACAATTACGGGCAACCCAGCCTATAATGTGGCGTACGCACACAGTTGGGCTTGCCTCTAAGCAGGCTATTGGCTTGCGATGGCCCGTGTCGCATGTCTTGGTAGAGGGGTGCTCGCATACGTTGCAACCCCCCATCCCCTCCTCAACATGTGAAAGTTTGCATTGCCCGATAATCTGCACAGCGCTGATCAGGGTCCGAACGGTCTCGGCCGCTGCTGTCTTGGAAAGGAGGGGTCCAGGTCTGCCGCTTGGTTAACGCTTCTCCCAGGCATACATCTAGTGTTGGCTGGTCAGAGATGCTAGAGTGTTATGATATGCACTCCACTATCAGCAAGATGGTGGAGGCGAAAGTGTGGAGACGGTGCCCACCGTTCAAAGTGGTGAACACGTCCGGTGTGATGTGCGACGTCGGTCGCAAACCCTGGAGAATTACGCTTGCTAATAGAATTTGTTATCAGTGTCTAGTCAGATTGCCGAGCTGCGGAGGTACTTGGGGGTACTTCGATATGCTGATGGCTGGCATCCCCTCTTCTCACCCCCTTCGGCGTAATGCACAGCCAGTGCAACGTTGATATGATCATAGTTAGCCTCACGATACATGTTCTGCATTGCCACTTTTTGTTGAGATAGAAACCAGACATTGTACGTAAGGAGTCTTGCCTTGAGTTGGTGAGGGTTGGGCTTTGCGAAGTCGTGACAGTATCGCGATTAGATAGACAAGTCATGTGATTCGACAACGGGCGCTCGGACCCTATGACGAAGTTCGTGATGGATGAAGTTTACATTCAATTGCTAAGCAACTATTCATTGATGCGTCAACCGCCATACAATCATTTTGTAATCCTATCAGTTCAGTGAGACGACAGGTGCACATTGTGATCTTCAGCATCTCACACCGATTCCACGGACACTCCTACCACGACAATGGCACCTTCGAGAGCGCTCCTTCTCCGTCGTATAACCTTTGGGAATGCGACACCGCATCTGCCATTGACCTCGCGTCTGATCACAACATTTGCCACTCCATTAAAGAGAACACCGCGGTCCTCCGCCTTGTGGTCAAGCCCAGTGCGGCAGCCACAAATCTGCATATGCAAAAGGGCGTATTCCCAGTCAGCCAGTACCACACTCCAAGCACCGGATTACCTGAATGAGGCCGAATCACACGTCTTTAACAAATTGAAATCGGAGCTTGAGCCCGTCAAATTAGAGGTATGCAATGTCTTCTCCACATTTCTGTCTCTAGATATCACACAATGTGGAGATGCCAGCGTCTCGAGCTGATGACACCGGTCGCGCTACCGATCGCTGCATTGAAAATATGCGCGTCATATCAGCATCGCAGAGGCTTTCGGAAGGCGTAGTCGGCCAGACTTTTGGATATTGCTGGCTTGCATACGGATGCTGTCGGCATGCCGAACCGAATCAGGCCGTTTCATTTTGGTCAGCATCAACGATTACTAACACGCTCGCATAGGTTCAAGACATCAGTGGCGGCTGCGGATCAATGTATGCGATTGAGATTGAGTCGCCCAAGTTCAAGGGCTTGACCGTCATCAAGCAGCACAAAATGGTGAATGAGGTGCTGAAGGATGAGATTCAGAGCTGGCATGGCGTGCAATTACGAACAAAGGCTGCTTGAACAGGGCCATTTGAGGACAGTTTGTTAATATTGTACGACTAATGTATACAGAGCGGGCATCTGATAAAGTCTCAGAATAACAGTGGCGCTGAATCACGAAGGGCTCCTTGTGGATGGGTGGATATCAGTTGACTCTTATATTCTCTGCAGTACCCTGTAAAATGATAGACAGCATAGGTAAAATCAGTATTGTTCTAGAGTTTATGTGCCATTCCTGAAACCGAATTCAGAGCTTCAGTCAAGATCTCCAGATCAAGGGGAGTTGCTGACGTCTGCAGATCCATCTTCAATCTCATGTCATCTTCACAGGTCTCCCACGCTATTGCTTGAATACATCGTATCTGATTCATGTACTATATTCGATCACATCTATTCCGATAAGAAACACTACAATGACCGATTATAGTATATAGCTGAAGCTACAATCGGCAGCAACTAGTCGCTCCTCGAAATACACTTCCAACGTAACAAAGCTGTTTTGAATAACAATGCACGGCAGGTAACTCGACGTCCTCGGTAACAAGAAGAAGCAACTTTTCTAGACGATGATAGACCAACAAAAGAGGGAAGGGAATTTCATCCTTACCAGTCTTACGCTATGAGCTTTATGCTCGCAAATGAAAGAGAAGAGTTATTTCAATCTCTAGTAATGCCACTCCACATCAGCAACTTCTACAAAAACCCACCCAGGCTCGACACAGTCTGATATACGTATTGGATCTGGCGCATCGATAGTGACAGGAATCGAGGCAAAGTGTATGTTATGCTCAGCAAAGCATTGATACAACATTGCAAAATCTGGAGGGAAATGTCCCAATTTGGGCGGCCAATCGACGACTGCTACTCTCCTGAGCAGAGGTAGTGTCGCAGGTGCAATATCAGCGAGATGGCGCAGTATTTCCGTCGGGCCCTCCCATCCCTTTGAGCCCCAGTGCTCCTGCCAGTCGATTTCAAATGTCAGCTCCTCGAGCGTGGGCGGGAGATATCGTACCAATTCAGCAACAAACTCGGGCGTGCATTGGTCTGGATCGTCGTCGTGCGCTATCAAGCCCATGTCCAAGGAGCGCAAGTTTGACATCCTGGAGGCCAATCTTGCTAACTGCAGCATGTGTTTCTGGTAGAGCATATGATGATCGCCGCGGACAGATAGCCGCTCAAGCGATGCGCGGTTATGTGTCAGCACAGAGGAAAGGCTCTCAAACTTTGATATGAGATTTGGCGAACGTCGGCTCCGCAGATTGTTGTGGACATCGTGTTCGTAAGCAAAACTCTTAAGTTGTCTGCATGCCTCGGTGAAGTGAGCTAATGTTTCCGTCTCGACGCAAGCACGCTTGAGGACAATGTTTTCGACGCCCGAAACACCCCTTTCGAGTACGGTGTAGAGCGGTATTTCATCGTTCCACTCAACATAGTCGTGGTTTTGGCGCTCCAGCTGAACGATGTCGACAACAGTCACGTTGCGCAGCGAAGGAACACGGAATAAGTGTGCGATTTGCTCAAGACAGAGCGGGCCGTGTATGTGAACGTTTCTCAGATTCTGGAGCGTTCCTGCTTCGGATATAGGCTTGCCGAACCAGTAGACATCGTCTCTCCATCCATACGTTTCTTTGATGGTAAGCGTTTCGATGGCCGGTGTAACCGTTATGAAGAAGGCCATAAACTCGTGGTCGCGCCATGTTGCAGTTAACCGCTCATAATTTATTGAAGGTTTCACTCCAACTGGCTCGAATGATCTCATCAACCTTGAAAGCATTTTTCGATTTTCACTGCTATTGTCTTGTCCGGTACTCAGATTCCATGTTACTTGCTGGACACGAGCCGCGAGCTTCGGATCATGAAGAAGGGTTCGGGTGAGTGGCCAGGGGCAGGATACCAAGATATGATTGTACAGGTGGTCGAGCGACAGCAGGTACATGCGCCGGCTGGTCAGGCTAAGATTGCGAATGTCTTTGGGGTTTTCGATTGGCATACAATCAATGATGCTCATCACGAGCTCGTTAGGAAGAGCGCCAAAGCCGGGGTTTGCCGCCAGTTCGGTTGCCATCCTGTGATCTGCAGTCGCACTCTCTTGGCTGCTAGAGTGCGCCAACGAACTTAATCACCACCCTAAGGTTCAAAAGAAAAGACAATAAAGAAACAGCTCTTGGATACAGCTTGGTTTGGACGGCAAACAGCTGTAGCTATGAACACGCTGCCCCGCAGTTTGGTTGCGCTAAAGACTTGGCATGTAGTTAACCAGTCAAGCGTGTGGCGGTTCAGCTTCACCTGGAAGAATGATATTAACAGATCAAATACAAAAAATCAAAATCATATGCGGAGGCATGCTTCCTCATGTTACCAGTAAATCTGACTATGTTTTTCTATGACGTGTGCGCTATCTCAGCATGCATACCAAAAACATGTCTCGTCTGCTTGTAACCATCTAAGTTCTGCATCTTCGGATGCTACTAAATATTCCTCATCCTAAATGTCTGCGAATGAAACATCTAACTCAATCCCCGCTTTACTATAAAGTTCTTGCAAGAAAGAAAACATTGCTTCAGCGGAGTCCCCGTCTCTCCACGCGGGCCATTCGACAAGGGTAACACGCTTCAGATTGCACGGCGAACAAGCGACAGCCGTAGCGAAATCAGACAGAATTTGGAAGTAAGGATAAAGCAAAGCTACCCCATCATACCCATACTGTTCCAACTTGATATTCAAGACTTCTAGCGTGTCCGGTAGTTGATCGGCGATCCCACTATGGCCAGGATCCCCATCGTTTTTGTACATCATTAGAGATATGCCATTGATGCTATTCTCGTCGCAAGGCCCGATATTCAAGGTACGTAAGTTCTGTAGCGGGTGCTCCTCTAACATTGGAGGGTTGATATTCAAGAGCGACGACACCACACTTTCGTCAAGTGGTACTTCGCCACGGATTCGAAGGTATTCGAGGGGGATCCCCGACAGGCGTCGCAATTCATTCATAAGCGGGAATTCCCGGTAAGTTTCTGGATGCAATGCGAGATCGTTTGGAGCGTGTTCGTAAGTTAGACTCTTGAGGTTGTTGAGTTTCTCAAGGATGATGATTGCCTCTGGGAAGAAGATATTGGATTCCCTCATTACTAGCTGCTCAAGCGAAGATCCATTCCCAAGCATTTTTTCTATTGTTCTTTCCCAGCCGTCTTGCCAGGAGAAGATCCTATTTGGTTCTTGGCGCATTGTGATGACTTCAGTAAGTTCTAACTTACGAATCGAGGGCAAAGTCAGCAGGGGCACGGCGTTCTCCAGCCGCAATGGTCCATGAAGTGTAACCCAGTGAAGGGTTTCGAATTCGGTCGGATTTTGCGCCATAGTCTCGAACCAGTACGAGTGGTCGTCCCATTTCCATGTATCCCATACACGGAGCCTTTGAACCTTGGGTGTGAACAAGAGAAAGAATTCAAGATACCACCAGTGTATTTCACGCTCATGATCAAAATCGACGAACCGACCAGGTAAATTCTCAGAATACCGGGTTTCATACAGGAGACGCCCAGAATCTTGAAGTTGTCTTGCAAGCAAGATCCTGTCGTTCTCCTGCAAGCATCGCCGACGAGCTGTCCTTGTCCAATAATTCTGGTACCACACTACTTCTTTGATATGATCTGCGAGCTCAGGTCGTACATCTGGGCGTGGTAATGCTATAGTACGCAGAAGCTGTTCTGGAGCCAGACCATGGAACTTATAGTATAAATAATCCGTCGTCAGACGCCGGAGTCGCTTGCTTGTTGTGTTGAGGGCATGGAAGTTTGAAATGCTGTCGTCGGCTTTGATTTGATCAAATATGAGTAATAACAGCTCATCCGGAAGTGTATTGAATCTGTCGAAAGACGGTTTCATTGTTCCGTTAAGCATCAGCAGTAGATATGTACTCGTCCTGACGGTAGGCTGTGTGCTTGTTAATGACAGTGCGATTTCCCTTGATGATCCAAAAACCCAGCGGCTTAGCGTTAGTAGTAGTTAAGCGTAGTATGGTCACGTGATTTGATACAATTTCTCTGTGTTCATCGTTCTTAACACCTTGTAGGCCTCAACCCCCAAAAAGCACAAAAACATAAGGCAGCAGTAGTTTTTTCGCAGTGACTCACCAATCTACTAATTGGCCGGTCAAACGCTTGTGTAAAATCAAGTTAGCAATTGGACAGTAAAGATATGGTAGAGATACATAGGCTTACGATATCTTTACCTCTATCCATGGCTCGTGCAACCAATCCCTTACCCCTACCATTACTTGAGACTTTTCACTGCCAATAATTCTAGTTGCGTCTTTTCTTTTCTGCAAAATTGAAGTAATAATGCGCTTCTAGCCCGTAAATGGCGCTGAAGATGGGCTACGGCTTTAATCATGTACTGCTTAACTCGTCTACTGTTGAGACTACTAGCTGCCCTAGATAAATGCTAATCTAGGTATATCAGCTACTACGGATGAAGTAAAGAAAATTTTTTGGTGTTTGTTACGCGGACAGGCGCTAGCTAGAGAGGCAGATTGTTGATATCTTAGCATAGCTCAACTTGTCAAGGGCAGCAGTCCTTAGAACCGAAATCCTCAATGTTGCTACTACCCGAAATACATCCGTCGTTGGGATATCAGCCTATCTAGGCTTTTCAAGATTTATCGAGGTTCCAGTTATGGGTTTTGGGGGCCGTACTCGGTGCAATACTGCGTGCGCACTTGATGCAAGAACATGAGAATAGCAAGAGTTTTACTTTGTAGGATTGATCTAAACCAATGCACAAGAAAATGCACTAGAGAAGGCAATCGGCCGGCCAGCATTGAGAAGCAGCGCCCACTGCTGCTGGGACGCTATAGCGGGTGGCTCGCACGACCACATTCCACGGCGGTAGTTGTATGGGTGGCAGTACCATGGTAAGAGTGAAGTTACTAAAGGAGTGTATAAGTCGCTGTGATATCCCAAATCACTATGCTCTTCAAAGTTTCGTTGTTATCTTGGACAAAGACTCACCAAACCTGCGCATCACCATGGCGGCAGCGTTGCTGATATTACTCTTCGTTCTTTACAGCAGGATCCACATCCCTCCTGTGGACCCTACTATGGTAGTGGCAACGGTCCGCCAGAAAGCGATTGGGCGCTTGAAAAGACACTTCCCGCATCCGCCTACTTCCAGGTCGTAGTAAGCTACTTGGATATAAGTTAATGGTTCCTCTTCGTATCTACCATTCCTTCACATGTTATAGACTATTAAAGATGATTTTGTAGTAATTTGAAACCCCGCATCATTTTGTCTTGCAGTTTCCCGCGCCCTGGCAAGAGAAAGGATGAAGGCCGCGCCCGATCCACTCCATGAGTTGGATTGATGACACTACGTCCAGATAGTGGTGACTGTTTTGGTTTTGGACATTGCAGAGGTGAGTGCGCTAGTGGGTGACTTACGTCATATTCGAGGCGCCCCACCAAATATTCCGCTCCTACTGACAACCACCTCTGCTAGTAGGTATATTATACGAATATCAAATGGCGCAAGACGGCCATTTTCTGCAGCGGCCACTCTACGGTAATATAGTTTCTCGTCGTCTGTGACTCGACTAATATCTACATCTGCAGTTTTCGATTTGCCCGAAGAGCTCCTGACCACCCTCACACTTAAGGACCAACACGAACAATCGCTCCCAGAAACCCCCCCTCAAGACCCAAACACCGCGAAAAAATCTTCCGAAAACGACTCCAGCCCGGCGAAAGCGACCTCATGCAACCTCTGCGGCCTCAGCTTCGTGTCCCTCGCCGATCAGCGCAGTCATGTCCGGTCAGACCTCCATGGCTACAACTTGAAACAGAAGATAAAGGGCGCTAAGCCAGTGAGTGAGGCTGAGTTTGAGAAGCTCATTGGAGACTTGGATGAAAGCATATCGGGCTCTGATTCATCAGAATCAGACGAAGAAGAAGACGATGGCGGCGGCAAGGCGAAAGACTCTACTCTCAGTGCGCTCTTGAAGAAGCAGGCTCATATCACAGATCCCGGGTTCAATGAGTTTGCCTCATCCAAGAAGCAGAGTGGCCCTGGCAAGCCTCCGTTGATTTGGTTCACATCGCCCGCACTACCCGACAACACATCGCTGGGCATATACCGCGCCATATTTTCGAATGCGGAGCAAGAGGAGGAATCGCACATTCTAGAGACCATCCGGAGTAAGCAGCTGTCCCCGAAACAACCCCCAAAGATCAAGGCGAACGAGGGTGGCGTACCACTACCCAACACGGATATTGGACCACACTACTTTCTGTGTATGATTGGCGGTGGGCATTTTGCAGCTATGATTGTAGCGTTAGCCCCCAAGACAGGAAAGAAACACAACGGAGTAGACGAGCGGTCAGCCACGGTCATCGCCCACAAGACCTTCCACCGATACACCACCCGAAGGAAACAGGGCGGTTCACAATCTGCCAACGACAACGCCAAGGGGAATGCCCACTCCGCCGGTTCCTCGATACGTCGCTACAACGAAACCGCGCTCGTCAACGAAGTACGTGAACTGCTGAACAGCTGGAAGAGTATGATTGATACTGCGGAGCTCATCTTCGTTCGCGCTACCGGTGCAACCAATCGAAGGACACTTTTTGGTCCCTACGAAGGACAAGTGCTGCGAAGTAACGACCCACGCAACAGAGGCTTCCCGTTCAGTACACGCCGAGCGACTCAAAAAGAGCTTATGCGTGCTTTTGTTGAGCTAACTCGGGTGAAGCAAAGCACAGTTGATGAGGCAGCACTTGCTGCTCTGAACACTTCTCAGAAAGAACCTCCAACCACAGCTCCAGCTCCAGCAAAGCTCAAACCCAAGAAGCCAACTAAGGAGGAAGAGGCTGCCTCCTTACACACGTCGCAGATTATACCAATGATCAAACGCTCCAAGGTACCTGCGCTCCTAAACTACCTCAAGACCAACAACATCCCACCAGCATTCACTTTTCTGCCTGCCAATCACCACACGCCAACCCCCTTGCACCTTGCGGCATCCCTCAACTCGGTTCCCATTGTCATTGCGCTTCTCACAAAAGCGGGCGCAGACCCGACATTGATGAACGACGAAGCTCGTACACCATTCTCATTGGCGGGTGATCGTGCGACAAGGGATGCGTTTCGCGTTGCACGTTCCGAGCTGGGCGAGTCTGCATGGGACTGGGAGAAAGCAGGCGTTCCCGCAGCCATGACCAAGACTGAGGCTGACAAGCGAGACGCGCAAGAGAAGAACGAGAAAGCTGCAGAAAGCAAGGCCGAGGCTGATCGTAGAAAAGCAGAGACAGAGCGGGTGCGTAAGGAGAGCGAGGCAGAAGAGGTGAGGAGAAAGGAGCAACGACTGGGCAAAGGCAAGGCTTTGGGCGCGCTGCCTGTCAAGACTGGCGCCGACCTGAGAGAGGAAGAGATGAGGGGATTGACACCAGAAGCAAGGGCGAGGATGGAGAGGGAAAGAAGGGCAAGAGCAGCTGAGGAAAGATTAAGGCGAATGCAGGGCTGAGTACTCGATAGGCGTTGTGCTTGCTAGATAAGCTACAGGGTTATAGCATGCATGAATACACTCTTCGCGCCATCCATGGCAGTTCATACTATCGTGGACGCCACACGGGCATACTACTTTCGCACACATTCCTTCATGAGGTGAACACTACAATTTTTCACTATACCCTTAATCCGATATACCAGGAGCTGTCCAGCCGAGAATCATATCTGCGGCGGAGTTTAGATTGATGGGGGTGAAGCGCTAGCCGAGCAAATCGCTATGTCTACTACCATGTCCTTTGCCAAACCCTTTTTGCCAACGATACCGCCAATAGGACTTTCTTAGCTTGCGCTTTTCTTCACATACGATCATAGGACCTTTTTTGCGCGTTCTCTGTTCTCCACCTCCTTCAGCACATGTTGAGATATGGCGGTGAGTAAAGTCAGCCAGTTACAGCAGTGGTTACAAAGATACAATTTATCCATAAAAAAGCAACCATGTTACATTGTTATTTAGGTATAGATCTACCATTGATCTCTTTCAAACCCTCACCGATCAGCTGGCTACTGAAGCCCATTGCAACCATTCAGAGTCTTTTCCAAGACACATAGAAACCCTTGGGTTTGTCCATATCATAATCTCTTGGCCTCCTCGGATGCTCGGAAGTACCACAACGAAGCCGTCCATGAACGCTGGGAACGAAAAGCGTAGAGCCTGGATAGAGCCCAAATCATCTCCCCATGATGCATTTCCTAGAACATCTCCCAATCGGGAAGGGCTTGTGATCAGTACATCGTAGCCAGATGCCGGGTGCATCAAATTGCATACATCTTCGCTGGCATCGATCGTTCCGGCAAATTCCCAGATACGGTCGGAGGTCCACCAGTTAATCGAGTCAGTTATCTGGTGAGCAAGCTCATATAAAGATCCACATCTGTCCGAGAGTAGTTCATCAACGGGAGTATTTGCACGTGCTAGAACGATTGCGTTGCCGACGTACTCAAGTGGCAATGGTGGCTCAACGCGTCTCCGCACATTGACCGAGCTGAGGATTGAACTGCTGTCAATGGAAATTCCCGCGCTTCGTCGAGCTCGAGTTATGCAGCGCCAAACGAGAGCGGAGATTAACGAATTTTCAGTCATGAATGGGAGGTCATGAGAAGGCGGCTGAGTGGCCTGTTTCAATCGGTCGATCGCTTCGAGAGGTAGTATCCAGTGGGATAGTTTAACCAAACGTTCTTGCTTTCCACGATTGCCATTTACAGCTGACTCGAGAATGTGCCGCTGTGTCTTTTGGAACTGACAGTCCGATATTGATCTGTAAGTCTGGAACTCTGAAAGCGGCTTTTTACAGTGACCACCGAGAAGGTATGATCCATCCAGACAATCTGCTTGGATGCGCTCTGAACTCGCGACTATCCATCCACGCGACTCAGCGTCGACATTCCTTGCCCAAGTCTCGGCAAAAGTACCTAATGCCTGTGCATCTAGCACGGAATGATGCCCATTGAAAGCAAGAACCAGACCACCAGTGATGAATGTCAATTGAACCGTCATCACAGGGCTCTTTTTAGTATGTGCTAAGGGCTCAGGAGAGTATCCAGATGCTTCCACTTCCGAGAATGGGAAATTGCGTTTGGCCAAATCGTCGAACCTGATTCCAGGCATATCTTTGACAAAGAAGGCGATACCAGCATCTTCTTCGAATTCCAGCTGGATTGTGCCTCGGCGCGGATCTTCAGGGACGACATAGGCTGCAAGAACGTTGATCTCATCGATAGTGTGGGCCAAGCCGACTTGTAGATTACGAACCACCTCTGATCGGTCGACGTTCTCGTTGAGCCGGAAGACACACATCATGGGCAAGATCACACGCACCATGTACTGATCCAGAGGAGTCAGCTTCATGTAGTTGTGTCCGAGTGGAATGCTAGGTCGAACTTTAGTTTGTTGCATGTTGATTTGGTTGGATGATATCTGGGATTCAAAAGCAAAGTAACAACTAAGAACAGAGTCGATTTTGATGAATGCTTTCCTGTGCAGGCCTGTAGTTGGTTTGAAGAAGGATATGCAACTCTCGTACATCATGGCATCATATATGCTGATAAACCTTGCAAGTATTCAGCCAAAACGATGTAGTCTATTTGCAGGCGCCTCCTTTGCCACAATTTCTTTTGTTTACGGCTTGCTTGCAGCTAATGTGCAGCTTGCAGATGGCCTACATGCAGCCTTCATGCACCATTCGTCTTTGAAGGTTGATTTGATGCAACATACGTGGCACAATTTTGTCCTATGACCTGCACACAACAGTTTAATGGAGGAATCATCTAATGTTTGAACCGTTCCGATATCAAACGCGACAGCAAATTTGAATCTGGAGCGTTTAGTTTACTCTTTCTCCAGTTGAGAACTTCTATTATTTGATCATTTTATCTCATTTCCTGGGTTCACACTATGGCGACCAGAGCATTTGAAACTCAAGGCCACAAGGAGCATGATAGGGAATCTGACCCTATAGCCATTATCGGCATGTCATGTCGGTTTTCTGGGATGGCAGATACTCCCGGTGCCTTTTGGCAGATGCTATCCAAAGGCATGACCAGTTGGTCTAGAGATGCTCGTGATAGATTCAAACTAGAATCTTTCTGGCACCCTAGAAATGATCTTTCCGGCTCGGTATACTTCAAAAGTTCTTTCGAATACTATAACAATATCTCATACTCGATAGTTCAATGCCAGTGGACTTCATCTACTGCGACAAAACCCTGCTGCCTTCGACAATGATTTCTTCAGCATTAGTGGACTAGAGGCGAAAGCAATGGATCCTCAGCAACGCCTCATGTTAGAATTGGCATACGAAACCTTCGAGAATGCTGGTCTCACCATCAAGGCTCTTGAGAAATCTAAAACTGGGGTGTACTGTGCGTCAACCTATCAGGATTATGATCAAATTCTAGGTCGAGATCCTGAACTCTCAGCAAAGTATGTTATGAAGACCTATTTCTAGATAGGCAATGGGTGGTTTAATTCTAACATACTAGTAAGATATCGCTTCACTGGAACAGGGGCATCGATGCTAGCTAATCGCATATCCTACTTTTTCGATCTCCGTGGGCCGAGCATGACCATCGACACGGCATGCTCTAGCACGTTGGTTGCCATACATGAGGCCTGTAGTGCTCTTCGTATGGGTGAAATTGATCAGGCGTTGATTGGCGGTGTGAACCTCATTTTGGACCCAGATAAGCTGATGGTCCAATCTTCGATGCAGTAAGTATTACAAGTTTACAAGTAGCTTTTGATCGCTAAAGAATATATCTTTCTTGTAGATTCTTGTCTCCAGATGGCAGATGTTATAGCTTTGACGCTCGCGCCAGCGGTTACAGTCGTGGTGAAGGAGTGGCTGGGATCATGCTCAAGCCGTTGAGCAAAGCCCTGAAGGACAGAGATACCATTCGGGCTATTCTTCGTGGAACGTCCGTTGTCTCAGATGGTAAAACTCTAGGTATTACCATGCCTTCAATGGACTCTCAGGTCGAGGCTATAACGAGAGCATATGAGCAGGCGGGCCTTGTTTTAGCTGACACAACATACATTGAAGCACATGGTAAACTCAATATTACACAGATTCTAAGATGCTATCTGATCATTACATAGGCACAGGGACTATAGCTGGCGACAAAGCCGAGGCTTTAGCATTCACAACGACGATTGGCAAGGACCGCAGAGAGAAGATCATTGTTGGGAGCGTCAAGTCAAATCTAGGACACATTGAAAACGCATCTGGTCTAGCATCCGTGATCAAGACGGTTTTAATGATTGAGAATGGCGTAATTCCACCAGTTCCAACCTTTGAAAAGTCTAGTGAACAGCTGCCGGTTGATCAGATGGGCATTACTGTAAGTCATTATGTACAGATTGTTATACCAATAAACTGATCAGGTTTTATAGATCCCACGCGAAGCAATTTTATGGCCAGCAGGAACACATAAACGTGCTTCTATCAACAGTACCGGATACGGCGGAACCACGTGTCATGCTATCGTCGAAGCACCTCCCAAGGTTTCTCTCTTCGACGCATCTCACGACAAGAATGAAGCAGCTGAGAAAGTTTCAGAGCTCGGTAGAGCCTTTCTTTTCGTGTTTTCGCATCACCGTGGAGGAGGAATCGCCAGATGGGTAAAAAAGCTAAAACGTCATCTGACAGCACCTCTTCAGGCTAAGGACGTGTGCAATCCAGAGACACTGGCATTCACTCTGGGTTGCCGTAGATCACACTTCGCGTACCGGACAGCGATAGTAGCCTACAATCACAATGGCTTGTGCGAAAAGATTGAGGAAATGCTACGAGGTTCGATCAGAGAAACCCACGCTACTGGACAACGCAAGATTTGTTTCATCTTTACTGGTAAGTACAAGAAACGAGACAGAGGAGCTATTGCTGATGTCATTGAAGGTCAAGGTGCTCAATGGGCTCGTATGGGTTACGAGTTGTTGTCCAGCTATCCAGTCTTTGCTCATGCGATGATGACTGCCGAAGCAGAATTTCAGGAGCTCGGAGCAGAGTGGAAGTTGATTTCTGAAATCGGCAAGTTTTCAGAGAGTTCGGTCATCAACGAAGCACGTATTGCACAACCTGCTTCTACTGCTCTACAGATTGCTTTAGTTGATTTACTAACAACATGGGGTGTACGACCAGCTTTTGTCTGCGGTCACTCGAGTGGGGAGATAGCAGCGGCATATGCCGCTGGAATTCTCACAAGAAGAGATGCACTTCGTGCTGCATATTTCCGTGGATCAGCTATCGTCCAGTTGAGAAAACTCTACCCTGAACTGGATGGCGGAATGCTAGCAGTGGGACTGCCCGAAACTGCTGCAAAGAAAATCGTCGACGAATTACCCGATCAACTTGCGATTGCATGCATCAACAGCCCCTCAAGTGTTACTATTTCCGGCGATCGATCAACCCTTTGTGCTCTACAATCACGCCTGAATAATGATGGGGTGTTCAATCGTTTGCTTGCGGTCGATGTCGCTTACCATTCACATCACGTGGCTCGGGTATATCAAGAATATCTAGCCTCAATTTCAGACATCCGCCCTAAGATGGCAAACAAGGAAACGATTCTCATCTCTTCTGTCAAAGGTCAGCCAATGAATGGAACTGATATGGACTCAGAGTACTGGGTACAGAATTTGGTGCTACCGGTTCGCTTCTCCGATGCAATTACTAATATCCTTTCCACATTCTCTGATGCAAATTGCAACGCAACAGAAACAGACCCAACGTTTATTATAGAAGTTGGACCACATGGCGCACTTGAGGGACCAGTCAAACAAACAGTCAAAGCTTGTGGCCGATCACATGCGACGAAGTATGCTTCTGCTCTTACCAGAAACCAGGATGCACATGAATCTATTCTCAAGCTGGCTGGGGAAATTTTCTCTGAAAATATAGAAATCTGTTTGAGGAGTGTAAATCATCCAATTGAAGAGTCAAAAGGAGGAGTTCTGACTGGGCTACCGCCATACCAATGGTTCCACGACAAGTTACATTGGCAGGAATCACGTCGTAGCAAGGCGTACCGCTTCCGGCATTTGCCTCGTCATGATCTTCTGGGAGTTCCAACTGCAGACAGCATCAAAAGCGAGCCCACATGGAGGAATTATCTGCGATCTGCAGAAATTCCATGGTTGAAAGACCATTGCATTGGTGGACAGAACCTGTTTCCAGGTGCAGGGTACATTACCATGGTGATCGAGGCATTAAGAGAGATTCATATGCTTTCAAGAGATACAGCATGGAAAGGTTCAGTGATACTTTTCAAAGATATCAATTTCGAAAATCCGCTGGTGACAGCACACGACGACCCCGCCGGGGTAGAGACGTTCCTTCACATCCGACCAGAGACAAAAACAGCTTCTCGCTCATCTAATACATGGAAAGAGTTCAGAATCTTCTCCATGTCTGATGAGGGTGAATCAGTCCAGCATTGTCGAGGTCTGGTGTCCATTGCGCCTCGCCATCAGGACCAGTCAAAAGCATCAACCCATCGAAACGACACGCCTTCAGAGCAATGGGTGGACGTCAGCCCTTCAAAATTCTATAGAGATATGCATGTGCTTGGAAATGAGTACTCGGGCTCGTTCTCCATCATTTCCGCTATTCAAACTCGAGGATGGGAGTCGAGATGTCGTTTCGCTATATATGATGTTCAGTCAATTATGCCAGGAGGCCATCAACAAAGTCATTGTTTGCACCCGTCAACGATGGAGGCTGCTTTACAGTGTGTGTTTCCCGCACTTCAGGCTGTTGGCCGACTGAAGAACTGCACAGTTCTGACATCTATTGACGAATTGCGAGTATCAACAGACATACCTTCTACCCCGGGGTACAATTTCAGCGTCCAAGCGAGGGCTGATGTCTTTGGACCATTGAAGCATTCGGCAACACTCAAAGTCTTCAGTCAGCAAAATGATCACCATGATCCTCTGATTGAGGTTAATGGGCTAATCTTTACCACACTCCCGGATGTCAGTGAAATGAACAATGCTGACCAAGAAGCCCCTCAGTTGTGTCATGAGCTGAGTTGGGTGATTGACATAACCAAGACACCATGGGAATTCATTGTAGAAAACTGTCAGAGAGGGGCTATCACAGTCACACCGTTACACCTGCGTCAAAAATGCGATCCTTTTTGTCGGCGAGCCATCCGTGAAGCACTTTCAGAACTCTCTGAGTCTCAGGAACAGGCCATTACGGGTGACATGAGATACCTCCTCAATTGGATGCGCTCCGTCAAAACCGATTCCTCAGCGGAGGTGAGCGCCATTATGGACCTTACAAACAACGATATTGGTGCTGTCGGGGAGGCAGTATATCACATGGGATCTCGTTTACGTGGTATTCTCGTAGGGGATGTTAATCCTCTAGAAGTGGCATTAGAAAAGGATTTGTTCAATCGTTGCTACCTCGACGATGACAACCTTCTTCGATGTCATGCACAAATGTCAGATTATCTCCAGCTTGCCCGACTCAAGAATCCAGAGCTACGCATCCTTGAGGTAGGAGGTGGGACAGGTAGTCTGACCGTCCCATTACTTGGCAAACTATTAGAGAGCCATGGCGCTAGATTGGGAAGCTATGTTTTCACGGATGTTTCAGCAGATTCCATACGTCGCACAAAAGATCTCCTGGAGCAGTGGCATTCGGTCATGGAATTCCAAACGTTTGACATTGAAAAAGACCCAGAAAGCCAGGGACTTGAACTTGGTTCCTTCGATTACATCGTCGCTTCGAATGTGATCCATGTCACTTCATCGTTGAAGAAAACGCTTTGCAATCTTCGAACTCTCTTGAAGCCAGGAGGCGCACTTGTTTTTGTCGAAATCACCAATCCTTCATTGCGATGGGGAATATTTGGTGGATCGCTACCGGGTTGGTGGCTCGGTGTAAACGATGAACGAGAATCTTCACCACTCTTGTGCGCCGAGAGATGGGACGAAGTATTGAAATCAGGTGGATTCTCGGGTCTTTCAAAAGAGATGAAAGATTATGACTCTGCTGAAGATCATGAGATGAGTGTGCTTATTGCGATTAATCCCCCACCATCAGGCCACATTCCAATCACCCAAAAAATCTCAATCATCAACACAGAGCAGACCGTCCAGCTGTCCAATATGTTGGCCTCCCAGCTCCATATTCACGACGATCGGTTCGCTGTCGCACAAAGCCACCTATCCGCAGTTGATACAGATCAAGATGTTTACATCATCTTACCGGATCTTGCAGAACCGTCATACTTAATCAATCCATCAGACACGGAGTGGGTCGCATTGCAAAAGGTCATGAGACTTACTGGAACAATCGTTTGGGTAACCTGTGGTGCCGCAGCTGAATGCTCCATGCCTCGTCACGCTATGGTTACTGGCTTGATTCGGAGCCTGCAGGCCGAGAAGCCACAGCGCAGAATTCTGACCATAGATATTGATCCTAAAACTCTCAAGAGCGTGGAAATGGCTGAAGATTTCAATGCATTGATTTGCAAACTCCTTGTCTCTGCGCTTGAGACCGGTTTTGAGGTTGAATCGGAATACGTGATTCGAAATGGCATGGTGCTGATACCACGTTTAATGCCAAACAACACCCTTAACAGGCACGTTCAGGATACATTATCCGATTATCATCCACGTCTGGAAGATATTTCCCACAGTTCTCAACCGCTGAAATTGCGAATTTGGTATCCAGGCCTTCTAGACACAATGTACTGGGAATGTAGCCAGCGCGATTTGCATCCACTCAGCGACGATGAAGTTCAAGTGGCTTTTGAATACATAGGTCTCAATTTTCGAGATCTGATGGCCAGCATGGGTCAACTGGGCGGTGAGATGAACCTTCTCATAGAAGGAAGTGGGACTGTGTTGAGAGTTGGAAAGGCCGCCCAGGGTCGCTTTACCAAGGGTGACAAGGTTGTTGCTTTCGCTCCAGATGGATTGGCTACCATCAGCAACCTGAAAAAAGACCATGTCTTTCTCTTGCCGTCGAAACTCGAACTCGGCACATCAGCAGCGGTCCTAGTAGCTTACTCGACAGCGCTGCATTGCCTCCGGGATGTCGCCCATATCAGACCCGGGGATTCGGTCCTTATACACTCTGCCGCTGGAGCATTTGGCCAAGCAGCGATTACCGTTGCACGACATTTGAAAGCAGGCAAAATCTTTGTCACAGTCGGCTCCCAAGAGAAACGAACTTTACTCAAAGAAAAGTTTGCCATTGAGGACGATGATATTTTTTGCAGTAGAGACAACACGTTCAAGCGTGGAGTCTTACTCCGGACCAACAATCGAGGTGTAGACGTGGCCCTTAATTCCTTGTCTGGTGATGCAATTGCAGATACGGTCAGTATCCTCGCAGACTTCGGGAGGTTCGTTGAGATCGGGAAAAGAGACCTCTTGAACAACGGAAAATTGGAGATGAGAAACCTGTTGAAATGCATCACATTTGCAGTGGTAGACTTGGTGCTACTTGCCAAAAGTAAGCCTCGTGTTTTTCGAGAACTGGTTCAAGATGCATTGCACATTGCCAGCTCTGCAATCTCTGGAGCCATAAGCCCCGTTGTTCTCAAGCCAGTGTCAGAGATAGAAAGTGCTTTCCGACTCATGCAAGCTGGGAAGCATGTAGGTAAACTTGTGCTCAAATTGAACCCAGCCTCAAGTGTCAGAGTTCAACCACAGGCGCCGCCGTTACCCAAACTGCGGCATGACAGCTCCTACTTGATAGTTGGTGGTACTGGAGGGTTGGGCAGAGCTTTGATACGTCATCTCACAAGCTTGGGTGCAGGTCAAATCATTACCTTATCTAGGTCAGGCCATAGTTCTCAAGAAATGAGGAACTTGAAACGAGAACTCTCTCAAAGTACGACAATCATAGCAGAGGTCCAAGGCAGTGTTTCCGATCCAAGTTCTATGCGAAAAATCCAAGGTCTCGTCAATGATCTTCCATTGCGCGGCATCTTCCAAGGTGCGATGTCTCCGAAGGTTAGTTTCTTGGACCTAGTTTCTTCTGAATTGTAGTGACAAGCGTACAGGCTGGACTTTTCGAAGACACGACAGCCAAAACTTGGGCTGAGAGTCTCTCTGCCAAAGTAGAAGGAACGATAAACCTCTCTGAATCATCATTCCCTGATCTTGACTTCTTCATTTTGTTATCCAGCATCGATGGTATCGCCGGCGCGCCGGCCCTGAGTGGGTACTGCGCCAGCAACACCTTTCTGGATGCTTTTGCCCGAAGCCTTGCACACAGTGGCCGTCCCGCAATCAGTATTGATGTTGGAGTGACAGCTAGTGAAGGCGTTGTAGCTGAGAGTGAGCATGTCGCAGTGTTACACCGACGCCTAGGCTTGCGCCAGTACACTGTTGACGAATTTTTGGCTATTGTGAATTTTGCAATGACGAATTGCCTAGCGGGCAAACCAAAGAATGCTCAGATAATTTGCGGCATCAAGCACGAAGTCATGGACTCGTCCCATGAAGACACATCTCAACGATACCGAGATCCTAAGTTCTTGCACATTTATACAAGCACATTTGACCATCGCCACCAGACCAGTGGTGGTAGAGAAAACATTTCCGATATCCAGGCTGCACTACAGACCGTCAAAACCCCCGAGATGGCAAAAGGACTCACCTGGAGGGCATTGAGAGCCAAAGTGGCACAGCTTCTGGTGCTCTCCGAGAAAGAATTGCACCCAGCTCGCTCAGTCGCGAGTTACGGAATGGACTCTCTGGTTTCTGTGGAGTTGCAAAATTGGATGTCAAAGTTTCTAAGCGCGCAAATTTCATCGACTGAGCTAATGAGCTCTCGGAACATGGTGGAGCTGGCGGAAGAAGTTGCAAAGCGATCATGTTTAGTACCTGCACATGTGTTCCAAACATAGCAGACTTAGCAAGAAATCATCCCTTGTCAATACGAACTAAGAGGCTTTCAAATCTACAGATCTTTAATTGCTTCAAAGCTTTTCTAGCGAAGTAGATAGGCCCCTACCTTGAGAACAAAAAGATGCGACTATCTCTACTAATACCCGCCCAAAGAGTAAGTTTGTTAGTTTATTTTAACACTTTTTGAAAGCTCTGTAGTTTACTCGTTGAAAGCCAAATGAATATGCACAATGGATGTTATTGCAGAGCATAGTGCATAACGTTTTCGTATACTGCATCTCATTGTTGCTGAACCATTGTTGTGGGATATGTTTTTACTCTAATTCTATTCCACTAGGAGTTCTATCCTTTTGCTCTGATATCACAAACATGCTATAAAGTCTAATAGTGGCGGTTAGAGATGAGCAGTAGGCAAATAGCAGTTCCAGTTCTACCACGTCTCCTGCCTATATCGTCCAGCCTTTTCCATGCCCACCAAGTGCGCCTCTGCTCCTTCTCTATCCAAGTTTCCATGCTCTTGGAACCCTTCAATGAGTGCTTCGCGGATTGCTTGAGGCATCTTGCCCGAAGAGCCACAAACATATATAATACCAGACTTATGGTAGAGGTGCGAGAAGATGAGGGCAGATTGCTGGCGGATGAGATCTTGCACATAGACTTTTTGTCGCTGAAAAGATGTTAGTTGGACGAAAAGGAAGCTAAAATGAGACTGTGACTCACCTGGTCTCGAGAAAAGGCTGCAAAAACTGTTAGTGGAACGCCGTTGGATTGCAACTGCTCCCATTCGTCCTTGAAAAAATAGTCTGACTCGGCGTTTCTGCAGCCAAAGAATAGTAGATCCTTTGCTTGGTCGTGCTCCTGGTCTTGCAAGTTTCCATTATGTGCTTGCTTCAATTCTTCCCGCCATAACATGCGTTGGTGGATTAGCGATCGCATCGGTGCTACGCCGGTTCCGGGCCCGACCATGACGATGGGTCTTTGTAGCTCCTCCTTGCTCACACCCAAGCCTCCCTGCGAAAGGGTAACGGTAATCTCTTGGCCGGGTGTGAAAGAAGCGATATATCTCGTTGCTACGCCCTGCCTGATTCTCTTGATGACTGTCTTATACTTGACAATCGCAATCAATAGCTCAATCTTGGTTTTTCTTTCCAGTTCTGCTGTTGGGTTCATTGCACTGGCAATGCTAAACTGTCTTCCCCGTAATACGGGGATAATGCTACACACTCGCCGCCACGGTATCTTGACAGATTCAAACTCTTGTAGTACTTCCAGGATACTGCGGCGCGGACGCGTCGTGTAATCGTAGAGCTCGTCAATATACTGGGGATCTGTAAATTCGAGGAGACGCTCTTTGTGGAATTCGTCGGTGGTGTAGTGGGCGAGTTGGGCGAAGAAGGAACGGCGGGGGATTGACATGATGTCAAGATGGTTGGTGAGAAGTTGACGCAGAGTTACTGTGCTGTTGGAATCCAAGGCCCGAATGGGAAGGTTTGCAGTTGGTGGTGTAGACGGCGAGGACGGAGCGAAGCGTAGGGGGGTATCGGCAATCGAGGTCCAATCCATGCATTCCAGGAAATGGGAGACATCCAAAGGAAAGTTCTTGGGGTATATGGTAAGGACATCGCCTGGGACATAAGAGCGGACCTCTGGTATTTCAAACTTGACATGTCGGACATCTTGCCAGTGAGTCGTAGGGGTAACGCGTTCATTGCCCGTAATCTTTGCAGTAAAGCCACCAAGAACCTTGAGGAGGTCTGATGGTGGAATATCAGGTGAGTCGCCGTTTACTTCAGGCTTGGTTGAAGATGTCAATGTCTCGTCGGCAATTTCAAGCAACCATTTTGGGTCTAGCAGAACATTATCTGGTATTGGTTCAACACCATCAGGAAGAGGATATGCTTGCAGGAGGTGTTGCCGAAGCTTGGTAGACCAGGGAAGGAACGAGCCATCGATACTGGACAAGTCAGACACATTGTATGGGTACGGCGAGAATGACCTACCCCTCTGGGTGCTGTTCGTCAGATTCACCACGGTCACATATCGCCTGTGCTCCAAGTTGAATGAGGCGATTATAGAGTTTACGGTGAGCCCAGTTGTATTTGGGATACGATGTGTCTCCCAGGCCAAACGAGGCAAACTTCATCTGATGCAGACATCCCGGGCGTAAGCGAGCGCTTCTAATGGCTCTCCAGAATTTTTGGCTGTTTGGGGGCAGATCGCCCTGGCCCGTGGTGGAAATTGCAATCAAAACAACATCATGCTGCAACAATTGTTTCTACTCGAGTCAACAAGGCCCTGCTGCACGCACTGGCACGGCCATTGACTGACATACAAGACTGATGGCGTTCAGCTCAGCAACGTCGGTGTCGAATCGCAGACGCTCAGCGATCCTCCCCATTTCCTCGGCCACATCTTGGGCATTGCCTGTCTCGGAGCCGTAGACGACCAGCGCGCGACGTGGTTGCTGCAGGGCGGGCATGGCATCAGGGAGCGGTACGGTGAGGCTAGCTTCAAGGAGACTCGTCGAGAGGGTGAGATTTGACGGCTGGCCCCCCGGACCCGTCGCATGAAGAAGCGGTGCACTAGCGGCCACGTCAACGGCAGCCGGGTCTTTTTGCTGCTATCGGCTTCTAGCGGCAGTGGGGCCTGAGGCAGCTGGGTGCGTCGTCGGCGTTGAGCTGTGGCGCAGGCGGGCAGGGGGGCTGGAGTGTGTGGCGCCAGCTACCAGCATAGGTGCAAGGCGCATTAGCTAAGCAGCGCCTGTGTCGTAGTAAGTATGCACACACGACCTGCATATGCAAGCCAGTCATTAGATAGACAAGTCCATGCCCGTAGATTTTGCATGTACGCACAACTTCAGAGATGCCACAGAAACAACACGCCAGATGCTCCTCCCTCCCTTTAGCATGCACATGCATATGTGGCGCAACTAAGCAGTGGCGCGAGTGGGCCGCTTCGACTGCCGCTTCGGGACAAGCCCCATGGCCGCCCTCTCTTCAAAATAATCTGCCCAGGCCCGCAGCCCTGCTCCCTTCCCTCCCCATCAAGTCAAACAACAGAGACCAACCAAGCACTCCATCAACCCAATCCTCTCTCAACCTTCCCCGGGCTCGTAGCTACCCACTCCACACCCCCCTCGTCAACAGTTCCACCAACAGGCGGTTCGACAATCCCATCAATACTTCAATAATCCACTGCTGTTCAAGGTTACCTTTGCCGGTTTACCAGGACTCCAAGTTTCCCCAGTCACTCTACACGTTCGATTCTTTACTCGTGTTCGTCAACCCTTAAAACTTCAGCAAAAATGTCCGCACCTGTCGACAGTGTCACCGCCCAGATGGCCACCACCTCCCTCACCACCGACAACACCGCTCCCGCACCCGCTACTACTACCACCACCACGGAGAGCACCGGCGCCCAGCAGCCCACCGCAGCCGAGGACGAGGCTGTGCGTGCGAGCGCCGCCGAGGGCAGGCGACTTTACATTGGAAACCTCGCGTATGCGACCACCGAGGGGGAGTTGAAGGACTTCTTCAAGGACTACTTGGTGTATGTGGGCCCGCCTTCTCCACATGACGCCACCATCTCAAGCTAACACGCTGTCCAGCGAGTCCACGACCATCCCCACCAACCCGCGCACCTCGCGCCCCGTCGGCTACGCCTTTGTTGCCCTCTCTACCCCCTCCGAGGCTGAGCGTGCTATTGCTGAGCTCAACGGCAAGGCCATCCTCGACCGCAAGGTCTCCATCCAGCTTGCCCGCACCCCCGAGGCCCACGCTGAGGGAGCTGGCAGCGGAGCCGAAGGCAACACCGGCGAGGCTCGCCGCCGCACCTCCACCCGCGGACGTGGCCGCGGACGTGGCCGTGGTGGCCGTGCCGGACGTGGAGGACGTGCTGTAAGTACAGACCGTAATGACTGTATACTCGTGGACACAAACTAATCATGCTTGTCAAGAAGACCGACGCCGAGGGCGCCGAGCCAGCCGAGCCCTCCACTGAAGCTCCTGCCGAATCTACTCCTACAAATGTACCTGGCCAAGTTGCTCCCCTCACCGAGACTACGAACGAAGCGCTTACAGCAAAGAAGGGCGCCGACAAGGCCGCTGCTCCCCGCGAGCGCAAGCAGCGTGGTCCTCCCGAGGATGGCGTTCCCTCCAAGACCAAGGTCATGGTTGCCAACCTGCCTTATGACCTGAAGGAGGATAGGGTACGTGTTCTCTGAAACCCGAGTTTTTGGGCCTATACTTACAAAACTGCAGCTTCTCGAGATTTTCAAGGACTACTCACCTACCCAGGCCAAGATCGCCCTCCGCCCCATCCCCCGCTTCATGGTCAAAAAGCTCCAGGCTCGTGGTGAGCCTCGCAAGGGCCGTGGTTTCGGTTTCGTTACCCTCGGCTCCGAGGAGCTCCAACAAAAGGCGTGTGCCGAGATGAACGGCAAGGAGATTGAGGGCCGTGAGATCGCCGTTAAGGTCGCGATCGACTCACCCGGCAAGGAGGACGATGCACCAGACGCGTCCGCTGAGAGCGAGGCCCCTACCACCGAGGCCACTACCACCAACGCAACCCCTGAGAAGGTCGTCGAGAACCCTCCTGCTACCACCACCGCAGCTTAGGTGGTTGCATCCGCCTAGATGTATGCTCCCTTCGCCGAGCCGTATGTGGCATTGTAAGGCGACGTGGATCTGTGTAACGAAGAGTTCTGGCCTATGGACATCTGCCATTTATCATGATAGAGACATATAGGCTAGGGCCTTCAGCATGTTAGTTCGTTCAAGTTATCGGGTTATATCCGCAAAAAAGTGGGAATTCGGAGTTCATCAGGGCACGGTGTCTATGGTGGACTATCTCGGGTTCATTACGGTTACGGAAGACTGAGTTAGCTAGTCCGAGTTATGAGATATGGGTTCAATGAATAAAGAAACGAATACAAATATACGTATAGATGGATGTCTTTGTTCCTGTTGAGTCTCTATAGCTTAGGAATGACAACGTGTACGATATTGTTGGGGTCTACTTCTGAGTCTGGTTATGGGTTCATACGTGAGATTGACTAGTGTTTGTGTTGCTGTTTACAGGATACGCATTGTTCGTCTTGGCATGTTTACCAAGAGCCAGTCATCTAATTTGTTTGTCGATAAGTACAGGCATTGAATATGAGCTATGGCTGTTTGGAGAAAAGGCGCGCGAAACTTGATCACGTGATGACAGCATTGGAAACTTCCATCTTGATTGGCAAAAGGAAACAACAGAAAAATGCGGAACAAGGTAGCGTAATACAGACAAAACGTCAGAATTGTGGTATCATGGTGGACCTATGCGCGCTTATCTAACAACCATGTTGTGGAAGTAGCATGAGAGAGCAATTGTTATGCGAAACGCCAGTGTATGCAATTTAAGAAAAAAGAAGGCAGGATGCTAATGGCCGTGGGAATGAGCATGGCCTATTTGCGTGATGAGGGGAAGTAGCATGCCAAGCATGACGATGCTGACGTCTGTCTTGGACATGCGGTTGGATCCAGAGTAGGCTTCCATGTAGCCGTTTGCAGTCGGATCTTCATGGGCGTGTTGCGAGGCGGTTGCATCGGCCATAGAGTGCATAGCGACATATCTGTCACGCGTACTGTTAGCGAAAATGTATATACAGAGCAAGCGGCAATTGAGCTTACAGAAAAGTTCCTCCAGAGAAGCAGAGTACCCAGCCCGTTGCCCACGTCAGTCCCTCTTCGCCTCCCAGGTGGTTGCGTCCGAATATATGGACAATAGTCCAGGTAGCTAGAGCACCAACGGGAGCTGCTAAGCTGAAGAAGGCGAGGTGAGTTCGCGCCTTGCGCTTGGATAGGCCTTGTTTGAGGAGAACAGATGTAAGACCAAATGCAGCAGGCGCCTTGTGGAGCATAATAGCAAAGAAGATGACCAGGGACAGTGATGTGGACTCAGCGGTCGACGAAGCACCCAGAGCGATTCCGTCAGCACAGGCGTGGACTACGAGACCAATGGTGGCTGCTGGCGTCTTCTTGGTAGGTGGTGGGGGAAGCCCTGGTGTAGCCAGGGGCGTAACAGCCGCGCTCTGCATGCCCATTCCATTCACGCTCAACGAAGAGGAATTGTGCGGTCCGCGCGCCAGGTTAGAAAGAGAGATATGCATGGGCTGGTATTCGGGCTGTCCAGAGGCCAAGGCTTCTGGGAGATGTTCGACCAGGAACATGAGAATGTAGCCGAGGATCAACGCGACTCCAATGTATGCATGCGGGCTCGATCCGTCGTCATGGCCGGCCTCAGCATGGCCATGGGGCTTTTCCTCATCCTCGGGTGCGTGGACACGAGTGTGTCCCTCCTTGTGGCCTTCTGTAGAATCGTCGTCTCCTCCCTTTTGTGGATGTGGGTCATCGGTAGGCTTCTCCGTCTGCCGTGTATACTTGGCCTTGTTCATCTGCAATTCAACGGCTCCGCCAAGGTTCTTTGTTTCTACCTGGTCTGCCCTCTTCCATGCGGGAAACTCGGGCGCGTGTAGTAGGTCTCCTTGCAGACTCCTCGCTGATAGAATGGCAGGCTGGGCCACACTGCGCACACTACGCGAGTGCGCATGCGTCTTCATTCCCGCACTGTACATGGTCTCAATGCCCTCGGGAATGATAACGATCAGCGATGTTCCCACTAGCACACCGGTGCCAAGGAGAGTCATGGTGCGCAGTTGGCGGGTGGACAGGTTAAAGGAGAGAGGAAGGATGCCGGCAAGAAATGAGCTGGAACCATTAGTATGACAATTCTATGATACCGTCAATACATCTACGTACGCAATGCCCATTACCGTGCTCAGCGCGAGCAACATGAAGAGTCCGTCCCACATTTTGACAATGTATGGAATGTCCTCTCCCTAATAGCGGAGGGGCGAAGAGAAGGATGCGCCTGCTATGCAAAAGAAAAAAAGAGCGAACAGTTTCAGCGTTTCAATCAACACTGCCCATGCCCCTCGAGCAGTCGGCCGTGTCAGTAGTGGGGGGTGGGTTGGTGTGGGCGGTGTGGTCTGTTGTCGTGGACGTAGCCGCAACTTTCTTGAGGGCTTGGGTTCCACACTGGCCGGCAAGGCGCAGGGGCGGCTGTCATGGCGTAGGGCTGAGCTAGACGCGTCTCCCGTCGCGCTAGTTGTCTACCACTTTGCGCGCAAACTGCCCAGTACACCTACTCCCTCTCACTTGGGGATACTGTTAACAGCACATCGCGAGGCCGTTTAGTATCTGCTGAGCGTAACCAGGTCATTGTTTCTGCGACTCAAAACCACACACTATCGCGATGGCGCTTGATCTGGATGAATGTACGTGCTTCGTCCAAAAGGCTACACACGATAGTGGTCATGACAGCTTGCATAACTCTCGTACTAACGCTCTCTAGGGGTTACCAACTCAAACGAATGTTTCCACCTTAATCTTTACCGCACAGCCAACGAGGACGGCCCTGAGCGCATTCTCGAATCCTTCAACCCAAGCTACACATACACCCTCATCGAGGAGAATGAAACCATTGCGGGGTACAAGAATCCCAGCATTGAACTAGATTTCCGCGCCAACGACCTGAAGCCAAAGCTGAAAATCTCCTTTGACCAAGAACTTGACCTCAAGAAGATTTCTCCGGATCTGAACCAGGTCAACCTATCACCAGAGCTGTTCCGCGAGTACCTCCCAGATTCTATTGGTGATGCTGCGAGCGCGACTCCGGCCGACTGGAAGCCGCCTGGCGAGCTCGCCAATACATTTACTCTATACGGAAAGCATTACGAGATATGGAAGGCCTCCATGACAGATACCGAGGCGCGGAGCATCTGGACAAACATGAGAATCTTAGCGATACTTTTTATCGAAGGCGCTACAACAGATGGCCTGGATGATGAGGAGACTCTGGATCGTTGGACACTATATCTACTGTACGAGGTGACACCGCTGGAAGACAAGACACTCTCACCTTACACGCTCGCTGGTTTCTCCACAACCTATCGTTCTTGGATCTTCCCCACATTTGAGATTGCGCGAGCTACAAAGCAGCTGCCATCGCCTGCTGAAAGCAATAGTGGCGAGACTGGCAAGTACACGCCACCTCGTCTACACCAGGACCCCGAGACTTTCCTCTTCACGGACAAGCTCGACCTTCTCCAAACACCGTCAAGAGAACGCATCTCACAATTTCTCGTCATTCCTCCATACCAAGGCCAATCGCTTGGAAGCCGGCTTTATGACACTATTTTCCATGATCTAGTATCCAAACCCTTCATCTACGAGATTCCCGTAGAGGATCCAAGTGAGGCGTTCGATGCAATGCGAGACTACAGTGATATTACGTATCTTCGCACTTTGCCTGCATTTCAGAACCTATCGGTTGCTTCAAATCTGCCCCCAGAATCCTTAAAGAAAGACTCGCCTGTCCCGCAAGATCAAATTCTTGGCAACGGAACAGATCTCGAAGAACTCCGAAAAGAAACAAAGATTGTGAGCAGGCAATTCTACAGAATGGTCGAGTTGCATCTGTTATCAACCATTCCTCCAAACCACCGCACTCGGTCACGTATCACACGCAAAGCGAAATCGAGCAATGAAAACGATAGAAGATACTACTTCTGGCGTCTAGCCCTGAAGCACCGTATTTACAGCCAGAATGCCGACGCTTTGGATCAAATGGAGGATAGCGCCGAGCGCGTCGAGAAGCTAGAGTCTGCAGTTGACAGCCAGCAAGAGGAGTTTGAGGAGCGTCTAGAGGGACTAGAGAAGCGCCAAAACCTGGCAGCTGACACCACATCTGCCTTGCCAGCTGGCGCGAGGGGTAAGAGGAAACGAGCAGTTGTGCTTGAGGATGATGAGGATGACGAGTGGGAGGACATGGAAGAAGCGTCTGTTGCGAGCTCAAAGAGAATGAGGTCGTAAAGAGTTAGTCGGATGTTAGGATTTGAGTTATGGTACCTGGTGCTTTGGACATGATTCAACCCTATCTAGGGAATCGCAGACTAGAATAGTTGATAATGACTTGGACAGCATACCCATTGATATCACTCTTTCACAAGTGCTCCCAAATACGGCAGACCATACGTCCGGCGATTGCAGACTAATCTCCGCGCGGGGCAACCTACCCCACGCCCAAATTTTGGGAGACTGAACATTCACACGACCAGCATCACGACTTGGAAGATATACAAACAACACCACTACTTAGAAGTCACACAACCCCACGTCCACAATGCCAGACCGACAATTCAACCTCACCGTTCTCATCTCAGGCAATGGCTCCAATCTGCAGGCCCTCATCGACGCATGTGCATCTGGAGCGCTACCAAACACTCGCATAACACACGTCATATCAAAGTATGCAAGCACCTGTATCTGCTGATTCAAGCCTAGCTAACACGTATTCACAGCCGCAAAGCAGCATACGGCCTCGAACGCGCTGCCAAAGCCTCAATACCAACAACATACCACAACCTCGTTCCATACAAGAAGAAGCACCCAGACGCCATTGACACAGCCCGCGAACAATATGACGCCGACCTCGCGAAAATCATTCTAGACTCGAAGCCGCGCCCTGACCTCATTGTATGCGCTGGTTGGATGCACATTGTCACGCCATCTTTCCTCACCCCCATCGCCGCCGCCAACATCAAAATCATAAACCTGCACCCCGCGCTGCCCGGCGAGTTTGCTGGAGCAGGTGCGATTGAGCGGGCGTGGAAAGCGGGAAAAGAGGAGGGGCTGAAAAGAACGGGTGTCATGATTCACGAGGTGATTGCCGAGGTGGACGCTGGTGAGCCAGTATTAACGAAGGAAGTGGAGCTAAGGGAAGGAGAGAGTTTGGAGGCGCTGGAGGAGAGGATTCATGCTGTGGAGCACGGGGCTATCGTAGAGGGGACGAGGAAGACGCTGGAGAAGATTGGGCGGGGAGAGTGAAGGGGAGGTTATGGGATGGATGTATGATACCCAAGATGTAGAATGTTAGGATGAAAATATGGCGCGACAATTCAGTAACAAATCTCAATTCCTTTTCAACGTTCTGAGATACGTGGGGAAGGAGTTTTTGGCATTTGATGTCAAAGAAACTTCCCGTATTTAACAAAGTCCAGCTCGCCTCCTCCATGGCAAGACTTGTGGTCCGACACTCCCTACGCCTAAGCATAGATAGAGTACCTCTTCCCTACGACTACCCACGCTCGGTATATCCCTATATTAACCCCTACCTACAATTGGGTGCTCCCGTACGCATTTACCATCCTATTTCTAATCATCTCTGCCTTCTCCGCTGATCGGGGGAGCACGTCACATGTGAATTCCTTCGGTGCCAGCTCGATTCCAGGCTTCAGTTTTCAACAAATGTCAGCGTTGTGTACAATTCGACTGGATCTTTGGATGCTTACCCTTTCATATGAATCAAGGTCGTACCCGCCGGTCCCTGAATCATCTTTCTTGAAGTCAAATGCCCAAAGAAAGTTCATTATGGTCAGTGCCATGTTCTGGCGTGCCAGTGCCTCTCCTGGACATGCTCTGCGACCAGCTCCGAATATAAAGTTGTTCCGATACCCTGTCGCGTCGACCCCCGGTTTCGTGCCAAACTCAGTCTCAAGGAATCTTTCGGGTCTGAATTCCTCGGGGTGATCGAAGAAATCTGGATCATGTGCGATACCGTGCACATTCAGGAATATTGTAGAGCCTTTTGGAATACGATAACCTTTGTAATGCAGTTCTGCGGTACTAACATGGGGAATAGCAACTGGGGCCGACGGTTTGAATCGGATGACTTCGTCAACGATGGCGCGAATGTACGGGACATTTTCGTAGTCCTTCAGCTTTGGCCAGCGATCAGGACCCACAACTGTATCGATCTCTTGTTGGGCTTTCCTCTGAATTTCGGGGTAGTTGATTAGTGCGATGATAAAGGAGTGAATAAAAGTCGCAGTTGTTTTCACTCCAGCGTCCATCAGAACCGCGCCTATGCCAACGATCTCATCTCGAGTCATGCCTAATTTGGCCTGATCCGATACCAGTGATTCCATGTGACATCCGGTGAAATTCTTGCTCTCGACTGCCCTCTCGCATTGCGCATATAGCGAACCATATAGCCCATCCCTAACGGCACGCGCTGAGTCCGCAAGCCGTTTCCAATATGCCCATCGCTTGGGTACATATTGAAGTGGCGAGAAAAGATCGACTGGAGGGTGTGCACCAGGGGCCAGACATTCACTAAAAAGATTGATTCCCAGGAAGTATGTCTCTGCAACTGAGCCTTCATATTTGGCTACACGTACGCCATAGACGTTCGTAAGTATGACTGATGCTGTTGTGCGGTTAACGTGGCGGTAGTAGTTTTTTGGGTCTTCCAAAATGTCGTGCATGCATTGCGAGATTTCGTCTTCTTGAGTTTTCAACCCTTTCTCAAGGTTGTCCCTTGTAAGAAAGTTGCGTACAAGTTGACTGCCACGTCTCCAAACCGGGTTTTCCATGTCTTCTAGGAACATGTTCTGGCCCCTTGTTACGCGGTTGACAATTACGGATTGGGGCCGATTTCCAGTACGAGCGCCATTGGTTTCGAGTACATGCTTCACAGCTGCTGGTGAAGAGATGACGATTATAGTATGATCAAATATCTTGAGTGAAAAGATGTCGCCATACTGCCGAGTCCATTCCAGAAACCTAAAATTGTGAGCTCAAACAACTACTAACAAAGATCAACGCATACTTGATGTGAGGAAAACTATTTGGAAAATCCAGAGCGTTCCCCAGAATAGGCTTCGTTTTTGGGCCTGGTGGCATGTCTTTGTCACGGGTCCCTACATTGCGAAACTTGAGAATCAACGACACTAGGAGCACGATTGCGATGCCTCCCAGCGGAATGGGAGGCAAGCCAGAGTTCATTTCAGCCAACATAGAGAGTAGTGTCATTGCCGTTGTTGGAGGGAGCTAGCATGACGGTCGCTGGACATGACACGATCCTTGTTCTCCAATATTCTTGGTTTGATTAGTCAAAATTAGGAATGTAACTTAAATAATAGAAATAGGAATAGCTCAAGAATCCTTCCAATTTGTGGAACCTCTTGGGGAACTAAATAGCCGGATAAAACCACGCCAAACCTCAGCCCATATCAACAGCAATGGTCACCGCAAAAAGCGTTATAAAATCTATATTCGTACTAGAAGTCTTCATAGGTGTGTCATTGTTTGTTTGGTCATTTGAATATGTATATAGTACGCGGTATGGGCGTTATTAAAAGTTGCGATGTCGTAGTAGGGACATTTTTTGTGGGGCAATTTCAGTTCCCCAAGAGGGCTACGAGTTTCTGTAAAGATAGGGCAGTTCATCTCTTCTGTTTTCCTTAATCATCTATCCAGTTGTTTATATCAAACTTATCATTGCAAGTGCCGACAATACTGCAGTTATTTGCCGGAAGCGCAGTACAACGACAGTAAACCATAGGTTATTGTTGACTCAAATGCTCCAACAGTTCTCTTTTTGTTTTCCCGCAGTTCCCAATTGCCCTTTCTAGTTAATTATAGTATCAGACTGGCGAACAACCGATCTGCCGAGCCGCATGATTATTTTTTCTTGGTTAATGTGCTTCGTTTAGACAACCCAAAATCGTGGGCAGCTAGAGGATCAATCAATCACGATATAAAAGCCAAAATTGATTAGACATACCCCCTAGACTAAATCATGTCATTATATAAACATCATGTTGTAATAATGTGGTAACTCTTATTGACAAGACCCCGTGATAGACAAGATAGTCCTCTTGCAGGCGCTCACTGATCAATCGATTCAATTTCAGAGTCCCATATGAATGAATTGATTGTTCCCAAGGCTGCACGACATGCGATATGCTTCCTTAGAAAACCAAAAATCAATATTGGTGCTTATCTGCTATATTTATGACTCTATGTGACTTGTATTGCTGTGCGATCATGCATTGTGTACATTTTCCTCATGATACTACTTCAGTTCTTCGATCAGTGATGTCACTCGCAACTAGTATATGCGGTCCCCAGGGATGCTCCCTTCATGAAACAGTCCTTCTCCAACTTCCTGACTTACTTCTACTATCATTGTTGAGAGGAACAAACCAAGAATGACCATGCAAATCTGTTGCCCATCCTCTTAAGAGGATGGAGATTGAGTCTCTCGATTGGATCAAAAGCTCCAAGAGCATGTCTGAGAAGAAAATGGAAAAGTTCGTCAGATACGGGGTCATGACACTAATTGCTTGGGCTTACAGACGCTCTGATGCAGATCATTTCAGGCTTGTCTCAGATTTGATGCACTTCTTTTGGGTTATTGACGATCTCACTGATAACCGATCATTGCTTGAGAATGAAAGTCAGGTTGCGAATTTGAAGCGCATCCTATCAGATCCTAGTTACAAATCGTCCGATGACGGAGTTCTGGAGAACATGTGTAGATTGTGAGTCTACGCAGTGAATGTTTATCTGACTTCCTAAAATTCGATCAGATGATGGAACAATGTTCTAGACATACTCGAGCCTCCTCCCAACACGAGGGATCTGTTCGTCCGCCATTTTATAGGCTATCTCGATTCGGTTGTAGAAGAAACCCAAGATCGTGAGACAGGCCGCCTGTGCAATCGTAGCGAGCATTCCAATCTCCGTCGACGCAATCTTGGGATGGTGCCTTTGATGGACTTCGTTTGCATCCAATTTCATCTTTCAGATGATATGATTGACTACGAAGTCATCCAAAGGATGACAATCACTACCACTGACCTTATTGGAATTGCCAACGACATTTACAGTTACAATATTGAGCAGTTTGGTGGCCAGAAAAGCGTCACCTGTAACTTCGTCGACGTTGTGCTACGTGAAAGAGGAAGGGGCGTGCAGGAGGCAATGGATGCCATGGGAAAAATGTATCGCGATCTCTTCTTTTCCCTGATCAATGATTGCATTAATCTCCCGACGTTCAAAGATACAGAGCAAGATCGAGTGCTCAAAGAATAAGCACTGGGCATGCTGGATTGGGTTGAGGCCAATGTGGAATTTTCGCTTGATAGTCAGAGATACATTGGATTAGAAGCCGGCTCAGAGAGGACAAAGGTTCAACGGATGGTTAAGGTCTTGCCACAGAGGGGATAGGTCACCTTGCAAACCAGTATAGCCCTCGTATAATCAGAGCAAGAATCTGATTTTCTCTTTACACCTTTAAGATTATTAACAGTGTTATTAAAAGTAACGATACTGATCTAGTACTATCGTTCGGCGAACTCCATTATCCATACTTGGCGCGCAATGACGTCACGAACAACCCACGCAAACATCTTTTCGCAAATACTACGCTCTCTGTTACAATCACTAGCCCCAAACAAAGCACCGCCATGTCGTACACAACCTCTGATCCGGACAAAGAAATAGATGCGCGCTCCACATCCGCGCTCGCATCCACCCGACGCAACTTACGCTACCTATATGACCCTAAAACCGCCCCCAACGTTGTTTCCTCGCGGCGCACACGCGCACTCCTACGGGTCCTACGATCAAGCATAATTTTTGTTTTTTGGAGACTAGTCCGATATGCCAAGTACGTTGCGATTGGGTCTCTAGTGGCAACGGTGGGCGCAGGGGCTTTTGGCACGTTTGTTAGTGGCGCGGGATTTGTGCTTGCGCCTACGGGAATTGCGGGCACAATTTTTGCGGCGACAATATGGGGAGTAGGTCGGTATGCGGTTGGGAAGGTGAAGAAGAGGTGGGGAGTGGGTGGGGGTTTTGAGGATGAGGAAGAAGAGGAGCTGCGGGAGATGAGAAGGAAGAGGACGGATGCGAGGATGGAATATGGTGCGGAGGCTATGCCTTGGTGATGGAACTTCTACAGTGGTCAAGAGGGAGCTGTATAGTAAGGACGATTCATATGCTACAACCTCTTGCCTCTGGACGAATTTGAGATACGGCATTCGATACTCGATCACGGCACCTGTTGTCGCTGTCGCGTATGAATTGCTGACACCATCGAGGCACATACACTCATTTCTCTTGGTGCTTTGTCAAGAAAACAGAGACGAAAATCGAATAGAGGCACTTGAGAAATAGAGCATGGTGGCGAAGAGCGTCTATGGATACCAAGAACAGTAACAGAAATCTACGTTTCGTTCATCCAGAGAAGACTGTATCCGAATATTCTGGAAGTCTGCAAAATGGTGGTGGATAGGTCATTAAACCGAAACAAGCCAGACATGAGAATTACCAGTGGTTGAAAATGACAGCGTCAACGACTAAGCCCTGTGCACAAGGGTATACTAGTAGACGCCCACCTGACATTACGATTTGTAAACATCTTACAAGTTGTGTTTTCAGTATTCCTAACTTCCAAAGATAGTTGTACACTGAATGAACAAAATCGACCAAGCTGCTTTCTCGTTTGTGTGTACATTAATTATTTTTATTCCAACACCCAATATAATACCATCGAAGTCATTTGCACGATGCACAAACCCTTGATCCATGCACACCCTGTCACCCGACATCAGCACTCTCGACACCATGTGACCAAAGACAAAGTATGACTTGTTCATTTTTTCACACAACCCAAGAAAAGCCTCCTGGGTTACAACAAGAGCCCAACTTTAATAAGGTAATATGTGATAAATTACCCATGCCAACCCCAACCCAAGCCCGGCGCCCAGCCCAATCGCTTGACACGAAAACTCAAATCGCAAGATTTTGCATTTGGCGACAATACCACACATCCCGGGCAATAACGGCTTGTGATAATTAACAAGGTACATTAATCTATCCAACCCTTACAAACTCCTGATATCCCTACTCCACCCTTGCCCTCCCCCTTATTCCATAGACCTAGCCGCACAAACACACGAACCAGAAAAATGTAGTTAAAAAAAACCCAAACATTTCGTTCCGAGTACGCCCTCCCCCTTAGTGTACGCACCTTTACATACATGATGCCAATCCATACATATTCCCATAGTTAAAATTTTTGTCTTTATAAATCAGTAAACAAAAAAAAAGAAGACGAAAGATAGGAATTCCCCCACACCTCTTTCATAACCGTTGAAAAAAAAAGGGGGGGGGGGACTCCAAAACCTAACATTTGCATTTCGTTTGCAACAACAATTAGGAAAAAGAATAGACGAGTGATTGTAGTAGAGTTATGAGCATATATATGTTAAAAAAATATATCGAAAAAATACATGTCCTAGTTTGAGCTTCAACACAAACATTTGAACAAAAAAAACGCCCTAACAGATGCGCAAAAGCCAACAAAATGAAAAAAAAGTTAGCAAGAGTTTGATAGAGGCAATAATTGATCCGGTGAGGGGAGGGATCGCGCCTGTTGTTTGTCCCTTCATGGTATCTGAACAAAAGTAATAAAAAGAGTCGAAAGTGGTAAGAAAGTAAAAAAAAAAAGCAGCACTTTAAAAAAGACAACACTTTGGTTGAAGGTGTGTAAACATGGAGGTTGGTAAGGGACCGCTTCATGTACATTTTTTTGTGATTGAACAAACAGACGCCATTTTTTCTCTTTATGTGTGTGTGTGTGTGTGTGCTCGTCATCGTAGTCATAACCACCACCGCATGAAAAAGGGGGGGTATATAGTTGTGTTTGTGTACCCAGGTATTCTGAGTATGATGCCGCCACGAGGCAAGTTTGATTCTTGAGTCAAGGGCTGCTGTAAATGCAAATCCTAGCTCTGAGCATTTTGCACGCCTCTCCGATGAGAGTTGGATGCTTCGCTCGTACATGCCCCTTGTTTGTTGCTGTCGCTGGGGCGGCGTGAATGACGTTGTAGTCTAGGACTGAAATGTTTTTACTGCTCTGATGATGCTTCAACGTTTCTCCCACACCGGCTACGGATCTACCACATCATCCATGGTCACGTCACCGGCGTTTGTGTCTTGTACCAATGGCGAGGTTGCAGGGAGAATGGCAGACCGTGGGCGGTTATAGTCGGCTTCGAGACGATCAGGCATACTTGCTGGGGTAGACGATCGCGAGTCGTATTCTTCTTCGGCGGGCGGTGAAAAGTCCCATACCTAGTCAGCCTTGTTAGCATCACAAAGTCATGTCCAATATTTTCGGCTAGCTCACCTCCATGATGGTTCGACCGCCCCGACTGGCCATGATGACAGCCTTCTCTTCCTCAAATACCACTCTCCAGACAGCCTCTGCAGGGCTGCTCAATTCTCGTACAGGAACGCCAGTCTTGAGATCCCAGACCTTGACGCGGCCATCGCTTCCACCGCTGACAATTCTCGTATTGTCAAATTGCAGACTCGTAACGCTGTTGTCGTGTGCGGCTAATCGGTGAATGGCTTGGTAGGTTGCAAGGCTCCACACACGGACCGATCCGTCTGATCCACCAGTCACAAGGATATCATCACGCATTTGAAGCTGTCCAACAAGCGAGGTGTGGCCCTGTAGTACAGCAAGACATTTACTGCACGGGAATATTAGTCTCCAATCATATCGTGACACAAACTCGGACTTACCCATCATTGGGATCCCATATCCGGACGCTGGTGTCCAGACTTCCTGTTGCAATCTTCTTGCCGTCAAAGGCAATGGCGTAAATCTGGCTAAAATGTCCGGTCAATGTGCGGAGGCACTTGCCCTCTGATATGCTCCAAATCTTAGCTGTAGTGTCATAACTTCCGGACACAACAATGTCACCGTGTATCTCGAGACACCGGACACTGGCTTGGTGGCCAATAAGTACGTGCTTGCACAGTCCCTTCTTCAGGTCCCAGATGCGTAGAGTGGTGTCCCTGGATCCGGAAATGGCCGTGTTGGCATCGGACATCTTCAGACATCGCACGGTTGACGTGTGACCACGGAGGGTGAACTGAGGGAAGCTGTGTATACGGATTAGTGACTGATATTAGTTAGAAGCGCAGAGTCCTTACCCAGTTGCAAGATTCCAGACGCGCACATCGCGGTCGCATCCTCCACTGACGAGGAGATCGCCCCACGGCACCATTGCCCACACACCCATGACGTGTCCTTGGAGCGTCTTTTGGTGGTCGCCAACGGTATCGAATACGTGTATCTTGGCATTGTCAAGTGCAACGACAATGTACTTGTCAGTCAAATGTAAGCTGGTCACCACACCCTGGTCCGGGGTGATCTGTCGCGCGTCACACACTCCACCGTTTCGCCATGCAGTCTCCACCATGTACCGCTGCTTGAAATGTGATCGATATGTGGTGGCCTGCTGCTTTCGTTGAGATGGTTTCCTCTTAGCGGCACGGTCGAGGCTTTGGGTTCGCAGTCCTTCTGGACTACTATTCGAAGGTCCGACTTCAAGGTGGTCGCGTGCCGATGATGCATCATCGAGCCTGGCCGTGCGCTCATCGTCGTGCCACCACGGCTTCGACTCTGCATCTTCCATTTGGTCATTTGGTTCATCTTCTTCCATCTTGTCCTGTTTTGGTAGTGTTCTGAAGGAGAACTTTTGGCAGAGCAACCGCCAAGCACTGTCGTCATTGACGAGCTCACGCCATTTCTTGGATACTTGCGATGCCCGAGCGAGAGTAGTAGGGTCATCTACGCATTCGAGTATCTAAATGAGGTCAGCCATGTCTACCAGGGTAAAAGCACGAATCGGAACGCACTCTCAAACAGAGTTCAGTAGGCAGGACCATGAACGGGTCCTTCTTAAGTCTAGGACTAACAAACTCGGCAACGAAGCTCAACTCTTGGCTGTCGCACAGGTTGAGCAGCTCGCCGAGCAGCCGCATGCGCTCTGCCCGGTTCATGTCGCCAAACTGCGCCCGTATGCTCTTGATGTCGCCGTCTTCGTGTTCGGCGGCGGTACTCCAGTCCGGCACCCGCTGCGTTGGCGTGGGACTTGGCGCGGGCGTGGGCGGCGAGGCGGGCGCCGAGGGCAGCAGATTGTGCGGAATGGTCGAGGAAAGAGGACTGGTAGGTGTGATTATGGGCCTGGGTGCTCCTGAGCGAGACATGCGACCTTTGCGCCCGTGGACGCTGGGTGAGGTGTACATGGCGGATCGCGAGGATGAGGCTGTTGCGCTGGCAGAGGCGGCCATGTCTGTGTCCGAGTCCTCGATGGGGGCGCCAGCAGCGTCCTGGTCTTCTCGCACCGGCGTGAAGTAGTCGGGGTCCATGGCGGAGGAGGTGGGTGCAGTGCAGACCTGGGCTGGTGTGGTCCGACGCTCCCTATGTAGTGCGGCAGTCGAGGCAGAAGGGGTGGGCGGCGGATTGGGAATGTCACGGGGCAGTGGATTAGTGGAGGGGATGTGGGATTCAAAAAGTCGACGGGATCCGGGCACACGAGGGTTCGAGAAGGGAAGAAGGTTTGCAGACGTTTGGGGTGGGTAGGCGCGACTGAGTGACGCCGGCGGTCAGCCAAGACATCACTGGCTCAGCCCTGGAAACCTCAGACCTCGCCCATTCCCATTTCAAGCTTCTGCTCACAATCCCTGCATGCGCACTTGGGGCGAAGGAGCCTAGTTTGCACACTTAATTCTCCTCCGCCGCACGCTGCCTGCCCGCTTGGATGCCATGCCTTGTGTATCCCAAAATTAGCCTGGTGTCTGCATGTCGTCAAACGCTCAGGGGATCATGCGGCGTCTCAAAAGCACCACATGGACTCTCAAGTCCTTTGCGAACGCCACTCTGCCCCCGTTCCCAAGCCCGGATCGACGACCGCAAAACAACCCCTCAATACTAATTCTCTGCCTGACCTTTGCAAGGGGCTGCCTGCCATTGCCTGCGCTGTCCTGCCTGCCAAGTGCACCATGGCTGCGTTGTCCTGTTATTTCCATGTTGCACGTCTCCAAACACGGTGCAACACCACCCATTGGCACTACGGCGCTTAGAGCTACCGCCTGTACCGGGCTCCCGCAAGACATTCCTCCTCGAGTCCACCCATCCCGCATTGTGTCCATGTCTTGTTGTCTATCATGTTCACGAGGCAGCCAGACACCTCCTTTTGCTCACCTGGCATGGCTCCCTGTCCGCCCATGGGCGGTGCACGGTTGCCATAGGCGAGCGGCTCCATGGAGCCTCTATCCATTGTCGGAGCTCAAGAGGTAACCGAGCCCGGGTGCTTCCCTACAATTTTACGTTCTGGCCATTGTAGACCCACCTGCCAGGTATTTTTGTACCTGAACTAGGTCCATTTGCCGGACATTGCAAAAGGCTGCGATGCCCAAGGCCCAGCTGATCGACCTTGGGATGTGCAATTCATAGAGGAGACCGGACTTGGTAACTTGTTTTTCCCAAGCCTTGTGCCGCAAAAGCATCATCAGCATCTGTGACGGGGCAGTTGAGCACACCCTTTTTTTGAGATTGAGGGAAGATGCTAACTTGAGAATACGTCGTGTGTTTCAAAGAGCGAAGTCCGACCGAGGACCAGGTTGACAGGAGAAAAAAACACCCATGGCCACTGACGCTCTAGAGTACTGTGTAGTAAGTTGCTCTTCTTTATTTGGCAAAAAACCGAGGGCACGCGCAAAGACACGATCGCGTTCCTAAAAAGGCTTGGCACGACGGGGGTCGCTCGAGGAAAGCACGCCATCTTCTTGCGACGTCATTGGGTCCGGCAAGGTCGTATTTCCATTGCTTTCGCGCGTTGCTGTTTGTAATCCAGAGCTTAGTATCGTCATGGAACTTGAGTACTTTGCCTCCACACTCGCATTATCTCTGTGCTCGACCTGCGAGCGCTGTGGGTAACAGACAAAAAACCATGAGCGTCCCCCGCAATCTGCTTACTCGCGCGCGCCCATTGACATTCGCGTCGTCTACCCCACAATGTTTCGCACCGAGGCCAACCCAGACGTCCCTAAGGTTTGCGAGGCGCCAGTCGAATCAACCTGCGCGAAAGATCCACAGTCAGTATCCGCGCAAAGCCCAGCATGCCTCATTTGCTCATGAAGTCGAATCGTCCAACCCCGCCCTTTCGTTTCCCTGTCTGGATGCCCACGAGTCGCGCTCTGCATCACTCTCAAGGAAACGGTCGTCATCTGGCCCCGAGCCCTCGTATACATCCGGCCACACGCTCAACTTCCACTCGACACAGCCTATACTCCTTGATTGGGGCGGCATACTGCCAGAGTTCAATATTGCATACGAGACATGGGGCCAGCTGAACTCGAGCAAGAGCAATGCCATCTTGCTTCATACCGGTCTTTCAGCATCCAGCCATGCCCATAGCACTGAGACGAACACGAAGCCAGGATGGTGGGAAAAGTTCATTGGGCCAGGAAAGCCACTGGATACCGACAAGTACTTTGTCATATGCACCAATGTAATCGGAGGTTGCTACGGCTCGACTGGCCCCTCGTCCATTGACCCTGCCAATGGCGAGCGCTACGCGACCCGATTTCCAATCCTCACCTTGGAAGACATGGTGCGAGCGCAGTTCCGACTGCTGGACAATTTAGGCATCCAAAAGCTGTATGCAAGTGTGGGTTCAAGCATGGGTGGCATGCAGAGCCTGGCTGCTGGGACTCTAGTCCCCGAACGGGTGGGCCGTGTGGTTAGCATCAGCGGGTGTGCCCGCAGCCATCCCTACAGCATCGCCATGAGGCATACCCAACGACAAGGTCAGTACATGGAATCTGGTAGTCCTGTGGACACGAGTTAATGTTACGGCAGTGTTGATGATGGACCCAAACTGGGCTCGAGGTTTCTACTACGATGGCATTCCTCCACACGGCGGCATGAAGCTTGCTCGAGAAATCGCCACAGTTACCTATCGTAGTGGACCAGAATGGGAACAGCGGTTTGGCCGACGGCGCGCCGACCCTTCGCGGCCCCCAGCATTATGCCCAGACTTTTTGATTGAGACATATCTTGACCACGCGGGAGAAAAATGGTGCCTAGAATATGACCCCAACAGCTTGCTCTACGTCTCCAAAGCCATGGACCTCTTTGACCTCGGCCAAGAACATCGAAATCGCATCAACGAAGTGCGCAAGGCGAACAGTGGAAAGATGCAAGCGTATCTGGATGGACAGGGTATCGGCAGCGATGCTAATACTGATGCCTGCAGCTTGACATTGCCTGATGAGCCATATGAAGAAAAGGAACAGCCAGTCGAGCTGGAGTCACTGATGCAGACGGACGGCAACGAGCCCCCGGCAGATCTAGTGGCGGGTCTTAAGCCGTTGGCGAATACGCCAGTTCTTGTGCTGGGTGTTGCGAGTGACATTCTGTTCCCTGCATGGCAACAAAAGGAGATTGCAACTACGCTGAGGCGGGCGGGTAACAAGAACGTGAGGCATATTGAGCTGGGCGAGGAAAAGAGCTTGTTTGGTCACGACACGTTCTTGCTGGACCTGGAAAATGTTGGTGGTGCTGTTCAAGACTTTTTGGGCTAAGTGCAGTTTCTGGTCTGGTCGATTCTGTGATTGTATTCTACTTGCATCGCAGGGCGTTGTTTTGCGGTGGTATCAAAAGTCCATGTTGATGTACCAAACTTGAGATCGACTCGTTTGCATGGCTACTCATTCCGCCTCTTTTGGTGCTATGATTGATGAATCCTGTTTCTTTGTTACTTTGCACGCGGTACTTCCTGGCTCACTTTCATCCCTCGCCATTCTGCACTCAAGACCTCTGGGACCCACTTGCATTCTGTCACGCCAATGTGCTCGCGAACATAATCCTCCAGCATCCTGGCTCCAGGTGCGTCTGCATATATAGCCAGGGCACCAACGCGGGGGACATGCAGGCTGGAGGCAAGTCGGCTTTCTGCCGATGTGGGCAGGGAAACCAGGCGAGTTGCTGTCAGTGGGGCATCCAGCGTAGCAGAGGGTGGCGAGAGGGTGCTTAGATGAACCAAGGTAGGGAGATGGGCATGAGCTGGTGAGAGAGATGGTTTGGGGTGAGTGAGTATAACCATGCTCAGAGGCCGCAAGTCGTCGCGAGGGACATGGTGGTTGGCAGAAGCGACGAGTGTCGTCGAGGGTGCCGTCTTTGCTGCCAGGGCCTCGAGATGCCGGGTGACGCTGTTGAGGCCAATGAGTAGGTGGTTGCCTATGGGTGGTGGAGGCGGTGGGGTCTCGGTGGTGGAGTCATCTTGATCCGGTTTGGTGGTGGCGCGCTTTCGCTTCCTGCCTTTGGATGGGTGCAGGTGGGTTCTGCGGTGGTCGCCTAGCGGCGCGATGAGGCTGGTGGTGGTTCGTCAGTGACAGCGCAGGGGGGAAAATTGTGCAGGCTGGCAGTCGAGTGGTTTTCGTGCAGCACATTGCGTACCTACTTGGACAGCATTTCGAGGACGACCAGCTCATCGTCGTGCGACAGCTCTGGCCTGTGCCGCTCAGCAATGCCCGTCAGTCAATTGGTCAGTAGGGGTGTCCAAACCATTGGGTGTCTGTAAAAGGCGATGCCGTTTTGAAGACGGGCTTGGTGTTTTGTTTTGCAGCGGGCGCCATGACTGGAGATGGAGGATGGGGTTTTTTGCTGTTACTTGCCCGCAGCGTCCAAGGAGAGGTGGGCAGAGGCCGCGTCAAATACAAGGGACAATGCCACGCCTCGAAGCGCCCGAAGTGCGTCCGGCGGCGACCAGCAATCGGGGTCGTGTGAGTGAAGGGCCCTGGTGGATTTGCGGGCGTGCCTGCATTAGAACAAGAAGGAGGATTTGTCCATGTTGGGCGGGCATGGGCTATCCTGGTCTCCGGCTAGTGGTGGGTTCCCGCCAAGTGCGGGAACCAATGACGATGGTGGGGCTGTTTGGCTGAGCTGCATTGCATCTTCCTGAGCGACCGAATTAGACAAGACACACATATCCCACCAGCCCGCGTCTCTGCCTTTGCCTCTGCCTGCTGTGAATCCACAATTCCACCGCCCATCTTGCCCAGAGATTGCTGCTGCGGCCCATGACCGTTGCCGCGCTGCATTTCCTTTGGCTGCGCGCGAGGACTCGGGCTAGCAAGGCTGGCCAGACTGCTGTTGCTGCTGCTGCCTGCATCAGAGGAGCTCCTGCTTGCTCTCTCTGCCTGGCCACGCCGAGATCCTCTGCTCTCAGTCGCACTTGTCTTCCTTCACCGCCATGACCGCGCAGGACAATGACCTAGTGCAGTCTGTCGCTGTCGCTGCCGACGAGCCAGCAGCAATCGCCCCCGCCTCGCGCCGTGATCCCATTGAAGACGCCGACGCGAGC